GTTCTTAAACTTTTCTGCCTTGCCTTCATTGAAAAAATGCCATTTCTTTTCAGATTTAATCTAGGTACATAATCAAACTTTTTCTATCAGAATTTTTAACATGTCTTTCCTCAACATTATTTTTCAGTGTTTTTTGAATATGATCAATTTTGTTGTATATTCTTTAATCAAAACATACATAACTTGATGTTATTAGTCATTTCCTACATCTGTGGTTCTTAATTTCTAACTTTATTCTTTTACATACAAATAACCTGAAGAAGTTTGCTAAAAATGCTGATCTTTATCCTCAAGTCCAAAATTCTGATTAATCAGGTCTGAATGGAGACTAATAAACATGTTCAGGTGATTTCAGGTGTGCATGGTTGATAGACACACTTCATAACACTGCCTACGTTTTGATAACCTGAATTAATCTAGATAAATTAATGAGATAATCTGTTTCATGAGAAGTATTTATGAAAATGTTAAATAACTATGTTAAGAGCAGCATCTTTACGTTCCAACTTTGCTCTTTTGTTGGGTTTTCCATGTTTGCATCTCATTTGAAGAAAGTGCACTATTGCATGTCTAAAAAACAAATTTAGACCATATTTTCCTTTTCAACAGATGCTATATAAAATGTGCTAATATAATAGTGTTTTAAAGTCTTAATTTTGATAGCTATAAAAAGGCAGAAACTTATTTCTTTATGTTCAAGGGGTTTTGTGGCCACAGGCTCCATGATGTCTTAACTGMACCTGGAACAGCAGACCTTACAGCTGATGTGGACTTCCATTATTTGCGCAGAATGGCAGAAGAAAAAGTAGCCTCTTTGGGTCCAATAGAACAACAAACATTTTTGAAAAATATGGGTATTGATGTACGGTTGAAGGTAATGGTTTATTTTATTTTACTATCATTAAATTTATTAATTTCATAGTATTTCAAAAATTATTTTACTTAGGTTCATTTGGCTTTAACATTTTTGTAGTTATGCAGCTCCTAGGTATTCCAGTCTTTCGGTAATGTAGAATTTAGTATAACCAGACAGATGGAGGGTGGAACAGCCTGGTAAGTTTCCATATGGGGTAGAGTTAAGGCTTCTAAATAGGGTTCCTGTGTAAGAAAACCACACAGAGCAAATCACCAGGGGATGTTTGTTAAGAGCACAAATCCATAGATTTGGGTCAGAGAAACTTTTAATAACTTTTAATAAACTTTTTAATAAGCACCCTGTGATTTTTAGGTAATTAGAAATCACATTTTGAGCACTGGAACATTTAAGAATCAGTACTGTTTCACCTACTTAGGAATTATTCTTCTGGTTACTTATGCTAAGAAATTTTTTCTTTTCAGGTTCTTTTAGATAAATCAGATGACCCATCAATGAGACAGCAATTACTTCAGGGATATGATATGTTAATGAATCCTAAGAAGATGGGAGAAAGATTTAACTTTTTTGCCTTGCTACCTCATCAGAGACTTCATGGTGGAAGTCATCAGATGAATGCACAACAGTCAAGACCCTCTGCATCTCCTGTAGCTGGGTTTGATGAACTTACTTGGCGGTGATATTTCAGTTTGGACCTTTTATACCCCTCAATTGGCCTAAGAAATCAAAGTAAAGGGAATATATTTCATACATTAAAGGTAAACAGATGATTTTGGAGTATTTTATCTCTTCACAGCCAATGAAAATAACTTAAATAATAAACAAAATTACAGATCTTTTGGGTTGGAATGGACTCTTGGTGCAAATGTGTTTTCTCAATTGACTGAAGTAATTAGGTTATTGTGAAATTGAGTTTCTTTTAGTAAAGCTGGTTGCTATATTTCTATTTTATTTTAAAAAGTTACACATGAGACTGGTTGGCTTAATAGAAATTTGAAAAAACCTAAATAGTTATTCCCAAGGAACTGATTAAATAGATCTGTATTTTATTTAAAAAGAAGAAGTAAAGGAGTATTGTCTGAAATAAAAAAATCTCAATTTTAAGATTTAACCCCAGCAGCTTGGGAGACTGAGGCAGGAGAATCACAAGTTCAAAGCCAACCCCAGCAATTTAGCAAGGCCCTAAGTAGTTACAAGACCTTGTCTCCAAACAAAAAGGCGAGAGGGGCGGCTGGGGTTGTGGCTCAGTGGTTAAGTGCCCTGGGTTCAATCGCTGGTACCAAAAAAAAAGTAGTAATAATTACATGCAAAAGTTTCTATAGTTATGTTTCCATTTCTGTTGCGGGGGGGGGGGGAGAGCTACATTTAAGTTAATATTTCTAACTGTTTTCATAGAAACTAATATACCAGTACAAATTTTACTGTGTTCTGCTCTGTAGTATGTATTTCAATAGAAGTAGTAAGTGCAGAATGCCCAGTAAACACTATTGAATTTCCCAATCTGGAATGGGTTTAGAGTGGAGAGAGAGTTGGTACTGAATTTCTTATCTTATATTCTATAGATAATTTAAAATTTTAAAAAATCCTACTTTGACGTATCAAAGAGTAAAAATATTGCAGTAAACTTGACCTGTACCTGAAATAAGAGTAAATGTAAACAACCTAGGAAGAATAATTCTCTAAATGGAACTAATTCTCTCTTATTTTCAGAAAAATGTCAAATGTTAGCTCCACATTAGGTTCTCATCTTTTGATTCATACACCTTGTATGTTAATGGTAGGAACACAGACTTTTTGAGGAAGTATATGTTAGCAACACAAATTTCCAAGGGAGATTAAAGAAAAAAATAATACCAGCTATGTTGTGAACTTATGGATTAAATACAGTGGAAGTTCATGGGCAGAGTGATGAAGTATTGATGTTTATTGCTGCTTCTGCTTAAATAAGAACATGATTATTCTGTATCTCACTTGAAAGTAAAAGGAGATTAAAACTTTATCTTTAAAATGCTACCCAGCCTTAGGCCATTTGTAGTTGTTCTTATTCTCTTTCCGTATTTACTTTCTTTTTTAAAAATATATATTTTTTAGTTTTTAGGTGTACACCATATCTTTATTTTTATGTGGTGCTGAGGATCGATCCCAGTGCCTCAAGCATGCCAGGCAAGCACGCTACCACTTGAGCCATATCCCCAACCCCTATTTACTTTCTTTTTAAACATGAAAATGCCCATAGTTGACTCCTCCCAAAGGTAATAGTTTTAAGGGCAAAGAGTCATTTAGTGACTTATAACTCAAATCCTAGAAAAGTAGTTTTGATAATTATTCTCAGTCTTCTGGTAGTTAACAGTAATTGAATATTTGGTGATAGTTACTAAAAAAATTACAAATTACAATTACTCTAAACTTTCATTCCAAGAAATAAACCCTCTAGATAATTACCTTAAATGTACTACGTATCAGTGTAATGAAGGTTTTTTTTTTTTTTTTCAGCTAAATCAGTTCTTTTAAACAAAGCCTTACTTCCATATATAAATGCTATTTTCACAACATTTCTGTGATCAAGGCCTGAGAAAACACAACTGAGTATAATTTTCTTTGGATACTTCTGCTAGAGATAGCCTGAGATTTTTACATGGAAAAGTATAGTGATACAGAAATACATTTTATTATCAAGCTTCTTAGAGCATATTTACAAAAAGTGGGATGTAACAAAAAATATAAAAATGTACTGAAGAATGTCATTAGACTACTTTGTACATTATCAAATGTTTCTAGCAATTATTTCTTATACAAACACAATTTCAAGACAAAAGGTTATGCAAGTTATACAGTATCTGGAGTAATTACTCAACTCCAAATTATCTGACAGTGCCCTTACAAAACTTTTTAGAAAACTTAGGCATTAACAAAAAGAGTGCAATTAATTTCATGGCTTGTAAAGTTTGATTATATAAGAATAGAAAACGAACATTCCAGTTAATTTTTACCTTATGTAGTAAAACCACAGTAGTGACTCAAAATTATTCCATTTTGTGCATGTTGATATAAACAGGCTTACTTTGGAGAAATTTGGGGAAGTCATTCTCTAACACAGGGAAAATCCAAAGTTTTCTCTAATTTGGTTTAATGTTTGCAACTGCCCTAAGAGAACAGATTAACGAGATGTGCGGAATATCCCTCAGTGAAAAAATATATTTGCAAAGGATAGTGTACAGCATAATGGCCAGCAGGTGAAGAGGGATTCTGGAGACATTCTGCCTGGGTTCATATTCACATACTACTGTGGGAATTTTAGTAGCTAATTTCTTTGTGCCTTAGTTTCCTCATGTATAAGATGGGGTTCGTAATGTACTTACCTTGTGGTATTGTGAGGATAAATTAAAACACTCAAAGAACTTAGAATATATAACCACTGCATAATCTTTCTATTATTTTCTCAATGATGTTTTTGTCATAGTACGACAGTTACTTTTGGGATCTGTAAAAGCCCTCTCAGTCTTACTCTGTTGATGTGCAGGAGCATTCTTTTCCTTTACTACCTCAAATTCAGTGGGCAGTAATTCATGTTTATAATTTTGAGCTTACTGAGTACATTCATTCGTATCTGATCTTTGCAACCACTGTGAGGAAGGTAGAGGCAAGGACTGTAGTCTTCATTTTATAAACTGAGAACTAAAGACTTAGGTGGGCTATCTACCCAGGCCAACAGAGCTAATAAATAATGGAGCCAAAGACTTAAATCCAGATTTTCTGACTCCGAATCTTTTGCTTTTAGAGTGTGAAAGAAGGAAACAGACAAACAAGGTCTGTGGTGATTACTGAAAAACGAAGAAACAAAAGCCACTATATATATATTTTAAGTGGATCCCAAATCTTAAATTTTCTTTGGGAAAAATACAACTTGACATCCCTAATCTGTGTTCCCCCTACCTCCATGAGGATCAAACCCAGGGCTTTGTGCATACTTGGCAAAAACTACCACTGAGCCCAATATCCCTAATGTGAAAGTAATGCAGAGCTCAAAAAGTTTTGGATTTCAAAGCATTTCAGATTTACATATCAGGGATGCTCAACCAGTAAAGTTTATATAAATATTGTAAAATCTAAAAACTCTAAAATCTGGAACACTTTGATCCCAAGCATTTCAAATAAGGGATACTCAACCTGTATTAGTAACTATTTTAAAATAGCTGGCTGCTGGAGCTGAAATGTAAAAAGAAGCACTTACTCCACTCTTTGATTTGCTGGGCTAAGCTAATATAACATAGTGCAACCCTCATAAACTGAGTGTTTCATTTCTATTCCACCCACAAACCAAACCCTAAATTGCTTAAAATGAAATACTGATTTAAAAACATTCCMAACATTTGCAAACCATCCAATAGGCTGAGGCAAGAGAAAGAGATACTGTTTGCTATATAGTGATGATATAGATAGCATTAACTGACCTACACTGGCCTTCCTTTTAGTATATATTTACTTTTCTCCCTCAAATTATTCAACCTTGGGTAAAGATAGCAATTATGTAATTAAAGTTCAGATCTTCACCCATGCAGTGCTGGGGACACAGTGTGGCATCACAGTGGTATCAGGTGGGAACATCAGTGTTAAGCAGCAGAATGAGCTACAAGAAGGCACACATAACCACACAGTACTTACACCAGCAGTTCCTACTCCTATTTCTTTGTAACACCAATCATTCCAAATTATCTTAGTGGCTATTGCAAAATACTCAAAAGGTGATAATTTCATTCTTACGTTGTAGAGGCCCTAATCAGAGTTGCAGCTCCAAAAAAGTAAGGAATCACTGTTTTAGAGTCTTAACTGACCTAACCAAGAAAGATAAAACAGCCTGGCACTCTGTAGGCATTTAGGAAAAACGCTTCAATGCCCCTATGGTCGGTTAGACAAACATTTAAAAGTCCTTATAGTAAATCACATATTATTAGCCTCACAGTTATTGCTTCAATGAAAATGTTTAGTAATCAACTTTACAATCCTTGTATGATTTGGTCAAGCTTTGCTAGCTTGCCTTAAAAAAAAAAATGACATAAGATCAGGAAAGGGAAGATAAATTAAGTGGCATTATTGTACTAAAGTGAAGGATCAGGAAACAATACAAAACCAGTTATTACTTACGCTATAAAAATTTATAGAAAGCTTCCCCTTGATTCCATTATGTGTTTTTATTACTTAGCTTCCCTTCCTGTACCTACATATGAACTACAGTATTGATTATCACCAATTCCTTGTATTTCCTCATGTCTTGGCTTCCTTGCAGATGACAACATACAAATAACAGTTATGAAGCAAAATATCAGTCCATAAAATTAAATCCTTCCTTATTGAAGTTAGCTCATTGATAATTAAGGATCTTCTTCCATATCATCGGGATTGGGAGCCATAATGAAGTGCTTTGGGTATACAAGGTTATGTGTATATGCATGTATTTCCCAGCGAGCATCATCACTTTCATGTGTAATGTAACGTTCTCCAATGCGAGTTTCAAATTCTCTAAGGTCAAGCCATGTCTGATAGTCCTAGAAAAAATTGACATGATTATGAACCATAAAATAAATACTGGCTACTATTTTTCCCCCTTTGCTTAGCATCCTGGTTACAGAATTGATAATCTCTACTTGTAAGTTCTTGAATTAGAAATGTTAAAAATCGTTTTTTCAAATCTGAAGTCTATTAAAAGAAAGTAACTAGTTTCTTTTTTTTTTTTTTAAAGACAGAGAGAGAGAGAATTTTAATATTTATTTTTTAGTTTTTCGGCGGACACAACATGTTTATTTTGTATGTGGTGCTGAGGATCGAACCCAGGCCACACGCATGCCAGGCGAGCACGCTACCTCTTGAGCCACATCCCCAGCCCGAAAGTAACTAGTTTCTGAAATTTAAAAAACTGGAAAAAAACCTGGTCTCTGAGATAACTCGTAATAATTACTAAAAGCTTTTGCCCTATACTGTTATCGGCCTAAACTTTACTCCTCAAAACGTGAAAGTGCTTGGAATACATTATCAGGTTAATTTATAATTGGTGAGCCTAACTATGATTGCATTTATTTTGAAGCTGATTCTACTCTTCATTCCCTTTAAAATACTTGTAAAACTTTTTAAATTTTACTTAGAGAAAGGGTCTTGCTGAGTTGCTTATGGCCTTGCTAAGTTTCAGAGGCTGGTTTTGAACTTTAGTCCTCTTGCCTCAGTCTCCCGAGTTGCTGGGATTATAGGTGTGCACTACCACGCCTGGCATTCCAAATACATTTTAAAGGGCTTTATTTTTTTGTCTCTTCAATGCAAAATGAGCCTTTTAGTGAACATTTAAAATAAACACACCTGACAAAATAGTATATAATGTTAGTCTTACAAAAAAAGTGAAATGAATGCATTAGGTCTTATAAAAGGCTGTGGTTGCTTTTAGTACATGGGAGTTTAATTGCCTAATGGTACCAGGGATAGAACCCACTGATGATTTACCACTGAGCTACATCACCAGCCCTCTTTATTTTGAGACAACATTTCACTAAGTTGCTTGGGGCCTCACTAAGTTGCTGAGGCTGACTTCAAATTAGTGATGTTCTTGCCTCAGCCTCCCTAGTTGCTAAGATTATAGGCGTGCTGCAGTGTACTCAGCCTCTCAATACCAATTTGGATGAATACATGAACAACTTCCAGAGGATCAATTATGATACAAATTCATCATAAAAAAGCACTTAAATTATTCTAAGAAAATGCAGAATCTGTTGATCTTGTCTTGTGTCACAGAACTCACAGTGAACCATTCAAATGAGGATTACTAAAGATATATATTTTTTTACCTGTAGCCAGGGATGACTAAGAGATTTGTCAACACTGTAGCGTTTTCTCATCTTCACTTGAAGCAGGTTGTTTATCAAATCAATTGCTAAGAGAAAAGACAAAATTAGATAAACAAGTCTCAGTGTGTAAAATACCCCAAACCTATGATTCTTTCTGGAGGGCAGTTTAATCTAATCTATAGAAATACAGCATTGAAAACCAAGAATCAATAAATGGGATGAAATCAAACAAAAAAGTTTCTTTTCAGCAAAAGAAACAATCTGTGAGGTGAACATTGAGCCTACAGCAAATTTTTACCCCTCACATCAGATAGAGCACTAATCTCTAGGGTATATAAAGAACTCAAAAAGCTAAACACCGAAAAAACAAATAACCCAATCAACAAATGGGCTAAGGACCTGAATAGACACTTCTCAGAAGAGGATGTATAATCAATCAACAAATATATGAAAAAATGCTCATCATCTCTAGCAATCAGAGAAATGCAAATCAAACCACTCTAAGATATCGTCTCACTCCAGTCAGAATGGCAGCTATTATGAAGACAAACAACAATTAGTGTTGGTGAGGATGTGGGGAAAAAGGCACACTCATACATTGCTGGTGGGACTGCAAATTGGTGCAGCCAATTTGGAAAGCAGTATGGAGATTCCTTGGAAAACTGGATATGGAACCACCATTTGACCCAGCTATTCCTCTTCTCGGACTACACCCAAAGGACTTAAAAACAGGGACACAGCCACATCAATGTTTATAGCAGCACAATTCACAATAGCTAAACTTAAGAGCCAACCTAGATGTCCTTCAGTGGATGAATGGATAAGGAAACTGTGGCATATATACACAATGGAATTTTACTCAGCATTAAAAAAGAAGAAAACCATGGCATTTGTAGGTAAATGGATGGGACTGGAGAAGATAATGCTAAGTTAGCCAATCCCAAAAAAAACAAATGCCAAATGTTTTCTCTGATATAAGAAGGTGGGGTAGGGCAGGAGAGCATAGGTGGAATAGATGAATTCTAGATAGTGAAGAAGGGTAGGAAGGAAAGGGAAAGGGCAGGGATTAGCAAGGATGGTGAAATGTGAGGGACATCGTTATACAAAGTACATGTATGAAGACTTGAATTGGGTGTCAGCATACTTTATATATAAACAAATACAAAAACTGTGGTATATATGTGTATTAAGAATTGTAATGCAAAAAAAAGAAATTATATCCCATCTATGTATGATATATCAAAGTATATAAGTGCATTCTACTGTCATACATAACTAATTAAAACAAATTAAAAATTAATATAAAAAAAGAAATAAAGCATTGAGAATTTTTGCTTAAGAACATAGACTTGAACAATTAAAATGATCCATAACTAAATTAAGTGTACATAATTTTCATTTTATTAAGAAGGCAGTACAGAGTATACACTGAATGTATACATTCTGAAGCCAGACTGCCTGGATGAATATGTTCCATTTTACACTGATTAGCAGTGTGATATTGGGTCAATTACTATGCCCTACAGTACCTTGGTTCCTCATCTGTAAAATAAAACTATTGAGAAGATGAAATCAATTTAACACATTAAAAAGCTTAGAAAATATTAACTAGTATTTCAAGATGCATGAAACACTCCAATTATAGGCTGATCTTCTCTGCCACTTCAAAGGATGCCATGTTGCTCTCTATTTCTTGGTTTTGTCTGGGAAAGTAGCCAAAGTTATTGCCTTGCCTCTACAGATGAGGTTAGAACTTGTTCCAAATGTTCATACTCAATAGGTTTTAACAAATAGATTCAGGGTGTTTTGGTGTATATGGTGAGATCTTGGCATACATATTTCATTATTTGGAGAATGAGTCAACTTCAAAACCAAAGGGAACTGTTTGGGAGTAGAATAAGATGAAAGTAGTGTTTCCTGAAGATGGACTTAGCAGTAGTGACTGGGAAGAGCCATAAAAGAGAGTCTAATGGGTAGGACAGTTAAGAAGATATTTTAGATGTTTCAGAATGAGGCATTTGGGGCCTGCATTATTGCTTTTCCTGGGAATTATAAGGAAAATAGGGATAGAAAAGACAGTGTAAAAGGAAGGAGAGTGCTCAAAATTTGATAACTAAATAGGGAAGTCAGAAGAGACAGGCTGATTTGTAGTCACAAAAAATTTTAGACTACAGGGCAGAGAGTCAAAACTTAACTTTTCTTACCTTCACCAGAAATTTCTCTCCATGGATTTGGTGGATACATAAATGCAGCATTTTGGATCTGGTCATTTATATCTTCATCCTCATTGAATGGAAATGTACCACTGAGGCTCACATAGACAATGACTCCCACTGACCACATATCTAGAGAACGGTTGTAACCTTTGCTTCTGAGAACCTCAGGAGCTAAGTATGCTGGAGTTCCTACTACAGATCTCCGAAATGACTTCTCACCAATAATGCGTGCAAATCCAAAGTCGCACAACTTCACCTAGAAATTATGGAAGAATGATGTTAACTTTGTATTGATCTCTATATAAATGCCTCTCCCTAAATATGAAAATGTACTTACCAACTGTATTGATTATGAATACCAAACAACTGTAGATAGGGAAATTGAAATATCATTTTCCCAGAAGGCAGATATATTTATATAGCTCTGTGATACTAACATTATGAAGAGCTCCCCTAGTGCTTATTTCAAAAAAGTTTTGTATCCTAGCTTCCACCCTGCTAATTACCAGACTGATGCTACAGGGCTTTAATTTCTTTACGAAGTGGAGGGTACTGCATTTGTCTCATAAGGAGATAACTTTTCTGTTATCTATGAGCAGGAACTCTTTCATTTCTGAATCCTCAGTGACTTCTCAATGTCTGGTCACATAAATATATTCAATAAATGTCTGCTGACCGTGGCACACACCTACAATCCCAGGTACTTAGGAGGCAGAGGCATGAAAGTTGCTAGCTTGGACAGCTTAGTGAGACCCTGTCTCAAAAACACAACAGAAACAAAAAAGGGGTGAGATTTGACAAATTCCCACAAATAAATTACAATATTTAAAAAACATCCTTTATTCTACTTGATGTAGAATCTCTCTTCCTAAAGATACTGTATATTGGCAAATAAATAAAAGTGAGAAGTATTAAACATTTATAAATAACTGTTAATGTGAATAGTAAAAGATGTAATTTTGGAGATTTCTCCAAGGAATAAGTGTAGCAGTGTTTTATATTACCATAGAACAAATTATTGCTAGTTAGATGTTTATATTTGAAAAAAAGTTGTACATGAAGGCAGCCATAGTCACTACCATGTTCTCTCAGGAAAAGAGTTCTGGAAGTGTGGTGAAATGGGCAGAGCTTTAAATGCTTATCTTGCAGGCTAGAACTGTAGCTCAGTGGCAGAGCACTTGCCTAGCATGTGTGAGGCACTGGGTTCAATCCTCAGCAGCACCATATACAAATAAATAAAATAAAAAGTATTTTAAAATAAATAAATACATACATACATAAATATCTTGCTACCCAACTTTTTGTAGATTTTGGTGATTAATGACTGCATCTATGCTGAATGGGCAAATGTCAAGTAATTTCCACTGGAAGTGCTCTTGACTCAAAATATGATTCAGAAAAAGCATTAAGATAAATTGAGAGAAAAGGGATTTGGTGTCTAGAAAACTGGTACAGTGACAGGAGAACAAAGAGGTTAAGGTATATTCAAATGCTGCTTGTTATTTCTAGGTTATGGACACTGACGTATGCTTTTATGAATGATATTTGCTGTCATTGTATTTGAAGACTAGTATAAACCCCAAAGAAATGTGAACTCTCTCTTGGTTAAATGCCAAATTTTAGATAACATTTAGATAAAGTAAAAATGACTTGGCAGTTGGGCAACTGAATAAAGAAGTGTGGCCATGGCTAGCATGTGAGGGAAAAAAAAATTCCCTGTTGCTCCTAATAGGAACACTGTGGATCACAAAAGTAGAGATCAGAAAGTTGGGAGTTTTAGCCTTTAGCTTCACAAGTGTACATCCTTTGCCTATACTATTTTGAAGATTAAATGAAATAATATATGGAAGCAGTTTATTTATTTAAACCATTCCACCAACTACTAGGGAACTCTTTAACCTCACAATGATAGGGAATCAATCACTTTAACAACATAAGCTTTATAAAAGAAATGCTTACTACTTTTTTTTTTTATGTTAATAAGTTTATTTCAGTAACACTGTAAGTCAACATTTAATCCTCAACAAATCAGCAAACCAGTGAAAAGAAATAGACAGAGACAATAATTTTCCCTAGTTTCCTGCTTTAAAAGTGAAAGAGAAGAATGATTTTTCAAAATACATATTTTCCTTTGAAAGACAATTTAAGTTGAATTTATAAAGTAAGATAGCTATGTGTTGTCCTTGTTCTAGCCATATGACATTTCAGATGTACATAAATGATAGTTTGGCAATAGATATTCTAGTTGATTGGAGGAATCATCAATGGCAATCATGAAAAACAGTCATAGGTACTAAACTAACGGGTTTCTCAGTACAATTGTAAAATCTGAATTCTGATTTATTAACTAGGTTGTGAGATAAACTTAGTTGATCAAGATCAACATGAAAAAAAAAAAAMCACTTCAATTTTATTGAAAAAAAAAAATCAGAGTATATCATGCATAGCCAGAACACACACACAGATGATATTATTATGTGTGAGCATCAATGGTTATGAGAAATTAAATTTTTATGTTATTTTTGGTGAAAATGCTTAAAATATGCTAAAAAAAAAAAGAGAGAGGTTGGCTGCTTGTCTCAACCAAAATCTTCCCATTTTAGGTACCAGCTCTCAGCTATTTTTAATTTATGGAGAATTCATCCTGAGTACCAAGCACCACCAAGGCTAATTCTCTCTACTCCCAGCCCACAGGGATAGGTGAATTGCCAAGAATTTATTTACAAAAAATCATTCCTTGGGATCCGTTAAGTCAAAAAACTCTTAATGAACATAACACAATTAATAAAAGAATTAAATTTATTTAGTTATTAATCCTGGCAGTTATAGACTAAAATGTTTCTGTAAGATGGTATACACCTTGAATCCACAGCACTTAGTACATTGACTTTTATTATGTGGGTACTTTTAAGTGTCAGACACTTAAAATGATGCTTCAAAAGAATATCTCACCTGAGGAAAGGGCTCTGCTGATGCAAGCAGCACATTTTCTGGCTTTAAATCACAGTGCACAATATTCTTAAAATGTAGATTCCTCAAAGCAACAAGTATCTGTAAATAAAGAAGAGGTTTTTTTCAATGCCTGGAAAATTAGTTAAACCACAATGTGACTCCTTGAATGGTGCAGTCCTCTGAAAACTTCAGTATAGTTTCAGATTTAGCTGAAAGTGTGATTTTCTTCCTTAAGGTTAAAAATTCCTACAACTTCCCAATATTTCAAAGTACTGCTCTTAACAGTTTTCAATTATTTAGTTTCAAAAAAGAGCTAAAATACCTGTGTGACCATGAATTTTGTAATTCGTTCTGGAAGGCGACTTTTCTCACTGGATAGAATCATTTCCAACATATCTCCATGCAACTTTTCCATTACCACAAAGACTCGTTCTGGTGTTTCAAACATACATTCCAGGTTTACAATCCCAGGATGATGCAAATTCTGGAGCAGTTACAGGATATTAAAACAACCAACTTTAAAAGTAGAGAAGTAGTTTTATTACAGAAATAACTAACATGCTGCAATTAACTGCATGAAATCACATTTAAAATGTTTGTAAACAATGTAAAAAGTACAATGATTAGACATGATTATAAATTCTGATTTTCCAGTTGTGCACAGAAGAGTGGATATACTACTCCTTCCATTTTTTTCTGTATATGTAGTCATCTTTCTATATTTATTTTTTCTTAAGTTCACTACTTTTATTACTTTTGCACACCTCCCCTCACCTCCTATCCAGAGAACTGGTTTCTGAATTTATTGTATTCTTTTCTTCACCTACTGATTTCATTTTATCTTTGTTAACACTTCTGCTTTCCTCAAGATTTACTGTTCATTAATTTTTGAGTTGGATTAGTTTCATTTCTTTCTTGCTTTAATATTTGAGATTATAAAGCTTCTTTGAATGATAGTCCAAAGACTCTAATATATACAGTATTTTTATCATCATTTTCTAAGTATTCTGAAATTTGTTCTAAGAATTGAGAATTAAGAAGTTTTCATAGTGGGAGCTTTTTGTTTTCTTTATTCTATAATTTATGTCTGCTTTTACTGTATCAAGGACTTATACTGATTTTGAATTGATGAGGGTTTTTTTCTTTTATTTCATTTTAGGATACAGAATTCAGTATAAAGCAGGTAGATCTTCCTTACTCTGTTTAGGCTTTGTATCTTATTTTTGTCTGCTCCATCTGTGATGCACTACTAAAATGGGCTTGGCTGTCTCTCCTTGTGTTTTTTCTTGCTTTTCTTCATAAATACGATGGTGTTATTTGTTATAGTGTGATTTTTACTCTTCCATTTTTAAGGGCCCTTTCTTCATTTCATGTTTTCCCTTGAATTAAATTTTGTCAAATCATGACCCCTTGGCTTTCTTTTGTTTGGGGAAGGGAACTAGAGATGGTACCACAGATGGGATCTCAGAGAAAAGCAGCACAAACAGCTCTCACTGTGGCCCCTCCTCTTGCATGTAGTCCTGCTTCATCTACTGTTTTTGGAAAATATTCTATGTATTCTAGAAGTCTGAACTTTTCTATTTTTGTTACAGTATACACTTCTGTTAACCATTTTTGTAGCTCTGGAGTAATTTTCAAGAAAATAGGAGGAAGGTACTGAATTCATACCTTAATGTTGAAAAATTTCTGTTTTTCCATTTATACAGGTAGCTACAGGATGCTACATATCCACTATTCTACCACTCTCTTCAGGCAATAGCAAATAACAAAAACATCTTGCATTACCCATATATCTAGGAAACAAAAATACTCCCCTATTTCTTTGCTTCCCCACAATGATCCCCCCAGATGTGGCTATGCTGACTTGTGTATAATACATTCCTTTAAAAAGTCACACAAATGTAATAATTCTACACTTTTTTTTCATTTAACAATACATTGTAGATAATGTCCTACCTAAACATATCTATTCAATGAATAGTAAATGAGTATTTGTCATTTTCCTAGAACTATGCAGATAATCTGGATCCATTAATAACACTGAAAAAGAAGCCCTGTCTCATAGAGTTAATTAATTCCAGTGAGGTAAGACATATAGTAGGAAATAGTAGTGAATTACCTACAATGGAAGTGGTTAAGTGCTTTGGATAAAAGCACTTCTGGTTTAGATATGGGGTGTTCTCCAAAAGCTAATGTGTGAGACAAGACAAAAGTTCAGAGGTGAAATGATTGGTGAAAACCTTAACCTAATCAGTGCATCAATACACTGATGTGGATTAACTGAGTAGTAACTTTAGGTAGATAGGGTGTGGTTGGAGGAAGCAGGTCACTGAGGGTGTGCCTTTGGGGTTTATAAATTTTCTCTGGTGAGTGGAGCTCTTTCTCTGCTTCCTGGTGGCCATGTCCTGAGCTGATTTCCTTCACCATGTCTGTTAGTCAAGATGTTCTTTCTATCTTGGGCCTACAGAAATGGAGTTGGTCATCTATGGACTAAGACCTCTGAAACTGTGACCTCAAATAAATTTTTCCTCCTCGAATTGTTCCTCTCAGGTCTTTTGGTCACTGTGACGAAAAAGCTGACTAAAATAAGAGTGTAGGGGTGGGAGGGTGGGTTTAGTGCTAATAGAATGTGAAGGCTTCATTAAAGAAATGATATTTGGGCAAAACTATAAGGGAGACAAGGGAATTTGTCATGTAGATATCTAAGGGGGAAAGCATTCTCAGCAAAGAGAACAGCTAATGCAAAGCCCTTAAAACAGGAGGATGTCTGAGAGACAGCAAGAAAGTGAATGTGATCATCATTTAGAAAAGAGATTAAGTTAGTTGAGTGTGTTATCTACAGTGGAGCCATTTCCAAGGGATTTTGGTTCTGTTTAATTAACAATCCCAGGTATCCAAAAATAGTACATGCTTATTTCTAATATACTGAGAGGAATACAGAACCTACCAACAAGTGCTTATCAGAGAAGCTTATGTTGCTGCGTATGCTGTACGATCACTTCTAAATTGATTGTTAGGATTTTTCCTTCCTTCTACTGAAAAGGCCAAAGTTATGATCTCAAATAATATGTACACGTGGGCATGGGAAAGGAAAGCTATGGATGTCACTGATGCATAGGAGAAGATAATACCAGAATAAACCACAGGAATGGTTTGTTTGTTGAAGGCTACATATAGGAACACAGGGAAAAAATGGAAAAGTAAAGATGATACAGCAGGAAGGGAAAGAGCCAAAGTGTGGTGTGTAAGGGTACAGGATAGAGGATTCCTTTCAATCTATGTGAAAGTCTACCTCAATTTTGTGGAACTAATTTCAGTAAATGAGGGATGATTTGAATAGGTTTTCTTTTAAAATATTTATTGCATTCATTCATATTGTACTAACAAAATTATATTTGTGTATTTCATATACAAAATAGGCTAAATTCAACTTTGTGCTATATTTATTGAGTTTACATACTGCAGAGGATTGTTTTAAGTCACTGTTTTACATATGTACACACACATATACAGTAGGTCCAATAAATAAAAAAGAAAGCAYATGTGATTTGCAGACAGGTTTAGATTCAAATTCTGAACCTGCCTTCTTCCTATTCAGTTATGCYGAGAAAAAGTAAATTTACATTACAAAATAAGTCATTTACTAAATATAAAATGTAGATTTTTTATGTAAAGAATCTACAACAAAGGCAGTGATGTATTAAATTAGTATGAAAGAGTATATTTGAAGATATACTGAAATTACTTAATTATAGTCTCAGTTTGGCAATATTGATGAAAATAACCCGAAGGATATAATTCTTTTTCACACTGTGCATTAACTGAAAGTTCCTAAATTTAGTTATGATCTATAGCTGAGCGTGGGGAAAAGTACTTTAGTGTTTAGTCCAGAGCTGTATTTGTGATCAAAGTGTCAAGGAGAAATCAATCCTTAGGCATATATTCTTTTTTTTTTTTTTTTTTTAAAGAGAGAGTGAGAGAGGAGAGAGAGAGAGAGAGAGAGAGAGTTTTTTTTTTTTAATATTTATTTTTTAGTTCTCGGCGGACACAACATCTTTGTTGGTATGTGGTGCTGAGGATCGAACCCGGGCCGCACGCATGCCAGACGAGCGCGCTACCGCTGAGCCACATCCCCAGCCTTAGGCATATATTCTTAATTTAAAATATTTTTGCATTTTAGCTGGATGATCAGATTCTAAAATTAGGCCTGGGGATGTGGTAGAATGGAGTGGTACGGTACCTTCCTAGCATGTACAAGAACCTGGGTTTGATCCTGAGTACCCCCAGCCCCCGCCGCCTCCAGATTTTTATATATATATATATATATATATATATATATATATATATATTGTGTGTGTGTGTGTGTGTGTGTGTGGTTAGGACAATTTGTGACTTGTCACACCACTGATAGCCAGGTTTGATTTGACTGGCTGGCTATGCAGGCTTCCCCTTCCTCCCTCATTACTCCATGTGCATCACTGCTAAAACTGCTAAAGAAGGACTATTCTTTGGCCAAGGGTTTACAAGTAACTGCACTCCTCTGTCAGAACCTCCAAACAAGCTCTCAAGATTCCAAAATTGAATATCCAAATATATCTCTAACACAATCTAAATGCTATCAATATTATATTTAAAGGTAGCTCTGCAAGGGAGGAGGTAGGTTTAATGTAACATTAGGTGGCTACGGACTGGACCACAAGCTTTTTTTTTTTAGGGCGGGGTGGTACTGGGGATTGAGCTCAGGGGCGCTTGATCACCATTATTAGCATTCCTCTGAGGAAAAAAAAAAATTGAGGCAAATAGTTACCACTGTGACCAACAATGTAACAAATGAAACATCTTTTGTGTGTAAGTTTCTTACCTTCTTCAAGGAAGCATAAGTAGGCAGTCTTTTTTTTTTAATTTCACTCACAAGTAAAAGGGCATTAACTATTAAATGGCTATGATTTCTTAAATAATATGCAAACAATATGCAATGAATTAATAGACATTTGCATACCATCAATATTATACATGAAACCCAGAAAAATGATCTAAGGATCAAGCTAAAGTTTAGTTTTCATTTTTACCCCCCCAAAGAGGTAAAAATGTTAGATAAAAAGAAAAACACTCAGTAACTTATTTAATTGGACTTAAATCATTGCTATATTTCTTAATATACTTTAATTGACTACACCATTATAAAATTATTAAATAGGATTTCAAATAAATAAAAAATATGCTGCTGTTAAAAGGTACTGTTTAGCAGTTTTTATTTTTATAGTAATAGCTATAATAATCAAGCATATAATTTGTGAGAACTGGAAGGGCATAACAATGACACAATAAAATGTGATGGTTGAAGCAGCAAATTGAAGTTCTTTGAGTGATGACTGTTGAATTAAGAATGAAATTTTACCTTTTCTTTTCTTTCTTTCTTTTTAAAGATTTTTACTTTAAAAAATGTGGGCTGGGGCTCAGTGGCAGAGCATTTGCCTCGCACATGTGAGGCACTGGGTTTGATCCTCAGCACCACATAAAAACAAATAAATAAAATAAAATATTTAAAAAGATTTTACTTACAAAAATGTGTTCTAAACAAACTGCTACTACAGAGCAAAATAATGGCAGGCATTATTAACTTATATATTACTGTAATATTAAAAAAAGGACTCAAACAGTTAATTCAGTATTTCACCAGCTTTTTTTCTAAGCCAGAAGATCATAAGAACAAAATGAAAAACAATTCCTATTCTTATCTGCATACTAAATAAACTCAGACTCAAAAAAAAACAAAACAAAACAAAAAAAAAAACCTGGTAAATAAAAAATTAAACCTACACAAGCCACTCTGTTTATTACCTGTAAAATAGCCACTTCATTACGGAGTTGACTTTCCTGCTTTGTGGGAAATCTCATCTTATCAATTACTTTAATAGCCACATCCCTTCCAGTCTTTCTATGTTTTCCTATTAAAAAAAAAAAAAAGAAAAGAAAAAAGAAAGCAGCAAATTGACAGACAACTCACATACAATACAAAAGCTTTACTAGAAAGTTGTCCCTGGACTGAAATTTATGTCCCTAGACTGAAATTTACTCATGTACTATGTTCATTTTCTTTTTCCACATGCGTTCACTCATTTTTTATTTTGATAAGTTATGTTTTTCATTTACAGTGTTTCTCCTTAATAACAGCAGCTTCTTATTAAAAAATAAGAAAATTTGAATAAACTTGTTTGCTGAAAAGTAATCTACCTTGTTAAATAAAAGACAATTGAATGCCCTAACCTAGTTTTCAGACACTATCAAGATGGAAACACTACAAATAATTTATTTTAGGTTTACACAGTGATTAACTACATATAAAATTTTTAAGGTAGAGTCATGCAATCAATAGCCACTCCTTCATTGATTAATTCAAACTAACTAGATATCTTGTGCCTATTATACAGTAGGTACCTTTAGACACTACAGATTAAGCAGTGAAAATGACAGATTTCTGATATTACTTCTTTTAATCTGTGTGTGACTTGCTATGTACCTGAAAATAACCCACAGCTATTAGAAGGGCACAATCATAAAAATATGACACTTCAAAAGAATAGACAATTCTGTGCATGTTTGGTAAGAAGTCAAAAGTACCTCAGTTCTTTGCCTCCTCAATGAGAAAGTTTTCCAGAGATGTCACTAGTCTTAAAACTGACAAACTGAAAGTTACAAATCATAGATGTTATATATGTATGTATTTTCTAGGTGATTGTTGTATGTCAAACATAATGATATTTGTTAGGATACAAAGAAAAACCAGACATCTTTTCGCCTACCAGAAGAGACTAACAGAAACTCAAAGTTATAGATACTCTAACAGATACATGTCTACTATGCAGCAAAAGGATCAATGAGGAATAATCAGTCTTATCTGATGGAAAGGTAGGGATGGGGAAAAGAAAATCTTAAGAGAAAGGATTTTTCAGTTGAGCTTTGAAGTATAAATAAATCTTCACTACAGCGATAAAAGGATAGAGAAGGAGCAGAGGCAAGAGATGGAGGCATGTCAATAGGTCTGGAAGAAGACAGCAAAGAGGGAATTGTATTAAGAAGTTAGAAATGCTGGGAGAGATCAAAGCAGCTCTGTATGCCTTGCTAAGAACAATGGCCACGAATCTGTAAAAAATGGTTCTATATGAAGTAGTACTAATTATCAGAAGTGAGTTTTCTGAAAGATTCACTCCAAGAGTGATATGAATAAAGAATAATACTGGAGGCAGAAAGGCCAACTACTAACAGTCTACTGTACAGTTGTAACAAGGGATAATGAGGTTTAACAATTATTTTGTATCTTGGAGCACATGTTAGATTTAATTAATATTAAATTTAATATAAAATAAAATTAAAATATAAAGTTAATGATATAAAAATTAAAATATTGAATCTGTGAATATGCAGATCAGATTTTATTAGCTCCATTAAACAGATGAACACAGTAATGTAAAAATGACTTCACCAATATAAGTCATAGAGCAGAATAAAATTTAAGGTTTCGATCTGATAGAATATTTATGTCAATACTGGACAAATGAAGACATCTGTGTTGCAGAACTAGTAGGGAATATACTTCAATGGACAAGTTCAAACAGCCTATCATAAACTTTACATCCCCACCATACAAACATATATATTTTTTAACTGTAGATGGACACAATACCTTCATTTTGTTTATTTATTTTTCTATGGTGCTGAGGATTGAACCCAGTGTCCCACACATTTGAGGCAAGTGCTCTACTGCTGAGCCCCAGCCCCACCACAAACATCTTTATGTGTGAGATACAAGAGATAAAAACTATTATAAAATTAATTTTCTGATTCTTTGTTACTTTTACAGTGGAATTTAAGGAATAAATACTCAAGTTTTAGTGAAAAGAACAGCCAAAAGGATACAAGTAAATCTCTGAGAAAAGGCAACTTAATAAACTATGAGATGACAAAATAGCTGGCAGGCTTAAAATTGCATCATTTTCCTAAAATGATCTACAATACACAAAAGGCTGTAATTGCTTACCTCCATAAACAATGCCAAACTGGCCAGAACCAAGCACCTCATCTGCAAAGATCTGATAAACGGTACTGATGTCCTATCAGGAAAAAGTAATCATCACTTATGTCTGGAAAACAATGCCAATATCTCTTAACTCAAATACTTAAATACATTTTGTTTTTATGTTAAAGACAACTAATTTTCATAAAGTACAAAATATTTCATGAAGCACAGGCTTTTTATATTCTAGAAAAAGTTAAGCTCCAATGTTATGGTATGATATTAATGGGCAAGTATAAAGTATTCCCCAAGAACCTTGAAGAAAAAATGCTTTGAATAAAAAGATGTGGTATTTATTAAGCATTAAAGTATATAAAATATTAAGTATATAAAAGAATATTAACAAAAAATTAAAAACAAAATTTTATCTATTTTGCTTTAAAAAAGACTGCTACGGGGCTGGGGTTGTAGATTAGTGGTTGAGACCTTACTTTACATGCGTGAAGCACTGGGTTTGATCCTCAGCACCACTTAAATAAATAAATAAATAAATAAAACAGAGATATTGTGTCCATCTACAACTAAAAAAAATTTTTTTAAAGACTACTATGTTTGATTGGGAAGAAAAACTCAGAAGTGTATATTAGGATTAGGCTGATTTTGAAAAATTAATTCAAATTCACTCCTCAATCTTTCTTCCCTCTTTTTTTGATAGTGTTTGTTGCTGTCAGAATATTCATGTACTAACATGGGATGTGTAGTGTCAGAATTGCACTACAGGTGTGACTGAAGAAAGACAAAGTGTAACTTCATTTAGCAGATCACACTTAAAGACAAAGCCTCAGCCCAGCAATTAAGGCCAGTGAATGTGCATATATACATGCCAAGTTGTTATGTGCTTCTCAATTTAAATCATTTTTTTCATATAACTAACCAATTTGGGTTCTAATTAAATTAGACCAGGGGCATCCAATATAAATATAACTGCCAGAAAAGGTTCTTCAACAAATACTAATTCTGGATCTTTTTCTTCTTATCTATGCATGGATATATCCTTAAGTTCCTGTGAGATCATTCAGTTTGTCCTTTCATGTTCTTGGTGTCCTCTTTTTTTTTTTTTTTTTTTTTTTAATAAACTATTCTACCTACCACCTGGACAAGAAACACATAGATTGTATCTCCTTGAAACTCTCTTATCTCCTATAATACTATTAGATGTCCAGTCTTCACTGTGATCTTAGAAATTTCAAACATTGTAGGTTAGAGAAATGTAACAGCTGAATGCCCAAGTTAGAGAAAGAGAAATTTTAATTAGAGAAATTACAATTTTCTGGCTTCATTTTCTAGCCTTTCTTCATTCTGATCCAGAGTTGGCAAACTATGACTAGTGGGACAAATGTAGCCTTCTGTCTCTTTTTGCATGGCCTCTAAAAATGGTCTTTAAATTTTATGACCAAACAAATAATATTTTGCAGTGTGAATATTAYGAGATACTCAAATTTCAGAGTCTACAAATTTTACTAGAGTAGTCAGGATCTCTCATTTATTTATGTATTGCCTATGGCTGCCTTGTTGCCACAACTGCAGAGTTGAGTAGTTTTATATGGTTCACAAAGCCTAAAATATTTAATATCTAGCCCTGTTCAGAAGTTTGCTGACCAATTATAAAATCCTAGCATGCCTATTATTGTACTAGCCAAACTTAATCTATTTACTATTTCTTAAAAATCCTGCATTTTCTGCTTCTTTCTATTTGCTCATCTTCTTCCCTGTACTTGCATAAAATGTTGTTCTCTTGTTTTTATATCCTCAGTACTTCTATCAAAAACCCATTACCATCCCTTTAACATAGATCAAATTGTACTTTATTTAGGAAGCCTTCCCTGCTGACCAAGAAAGAAGTAATTTCTCTTTTTTCTTTAACAAGTCTATTGTTTTAGTGACATTTATTCTAATGTCACTTTTTAAGTGAAAAAGTTTATTCTGCTTCTGTAATTTAAAAAATATGCCTTCCTTAGTTTCCTCCATAAAGCAGAACTCTTTAGGTAAGTTCTCACTCAGAAAGTATAATTGTCTTTAGGCAAACTGCTCAACACTTTGGGCTATGAACCTATTTCTCTAGTAAGATCTCATATTTTATTTTTCCCTATTTTAATCACCCAATTTATAAATGTTAGCTTAATTATTACATACCACATTCTCCTGGACCTGACAATTAGATACAGAGATACTGGTAGATAAATCTTCTGTAAAATATAAGAATGGTATATGAGAAAAGAACAAATTATTAGTATATGACTTAACAATATTTAAGGACTTGTGAATACCCATGGTATAGCAAACTTAAAAAAAATAGGTTAATATATAATATGTACATTAAAATAATGACTTAACAATATTTAAGGACTTGTGAATACCCATGGTATAGCAAACTTAAAAAATAGGTTAATATATAATATGTACATTAAAATAATTTTCTATGTACAAAATTCTAATCCATCAAGAGGAAACTAGTTAAATAAAATATGATAAATCTATTCAAATGATACTCTAAACACTTAATAAATGACATAGAACTATAAATATGGAATCAGAAAGCTAGCCAGGATGTCATATTGAGTCAGCTGCAGGCATAGCTCAGTGGTAGAGTTCCTGTCTAGCATCCACCCATAAGGCTCTGATTTTAATTCCCAGCAACCAACCCCCTGCAAAAAAAGAAAAGCTGCATGGTGGTAGCATCTGAATTAAAAATAAAAATATTACTTCTATACTATCTGTACTTTTTAAAACATAAAAAGCATGCATTATTTTTATTTAAAAATATTAATTAGGTAAGCCTACATACTGTAATTGGAATATATCTAGTATACATTAAATCATGAATAAAAGCAAGCTGCAAAAAGAACACAGGGTATGACTCTATGTTTTTGTAAAAAGGAAACTAAAACAGTATAGTAGATAGTGTAGGTTTCTCTCCCCACCCTGAATTCTTCCCCAATCTAGAAATATATAGCAAATTTAATAATGGTTTCCTGAGGGCAGAGTTACAGGAGTTGGGGGGGGGGGGCTGGGAATTACATATGTATAGGAAGGACTTTCTCTTTTTATATTACATATTTCTTTTCTTTTAAAATTTTTTGCAGTGGGAGTTGACTTGGGTGCTCTACCACTGAGCTACCTCTCCATTTCTTTTAATTCTGTCTTTACTAAATTGCCCAGACTGGCCTCAAAATTTCATTACAGGTGTGTGCTACCTGCTAAATTACATATTTCTATAAAATTTAAATGTATTGCTTTGGTAAGCAAAGTAAGCAACTGACAAGAAAAAAGGAAAAAAGGAAGTTAGCAAGAGAATAGTATTAAACATCTAGAACCTCAGAGAAAACTCAAAAAAATATGGAGTTTCTTTTATAATCCCAAATATAAAAATATAAAACGTCATTAATACAAAAATGTAAGCAAAGTATTCACCAAAAATAAGTAACATGAAAAAGGTACCATTATATTTTTTAAAGTTGATTTTCAATTGTTTTTTAAATAACTCAAAATTTAAACATTAATGATCAATAAAAGGCAGAACATGAACAAAATTAGTGTGTCTAACACTCTGCTTTTCAGTAGTTTGTTTCCTAGTTTAAGTCTCAGTATTTATTTTCTTTCAAAGGCTTCCTCTATCTAGCTCCAAGCTCCATCCAATTTTAATTTCTATTTGTTCCAGAAAGGTTGTTTTAAGGACCACAAGAACAACAGCACAGCAATAACAACATTTATGTATCAGGCACTGTCTTAAGCACATTATGTGCATTTATTCTTCTTTCCACTTTAGAGAACTGTAGAGTCTAAGAACACATATCCAGTTAGCATCAGAACTGAGTGTAAACTCTCTAGAATCTTCATCTTTTTCTTTTTCTTTTTTTTTTGGGGGGGGGGGTGTGTGTGCATATCCAGGATTGAACCCAGGGGCACTTAACCACTGAGCACATCCTCAGTTCTTTTTTATATTTTTATTTAGGGACAGAGTCTCACTAAGTTGCTTAGGGCCTCGCTAAATTGCTAAGGCTGCATTTCAACTTGTGATGTTCCTGCCTCAGCCTCTCCTGAGTCTGGGATTACTAGCATGTATCACAGTGCCTGACTTGCAGTTCTATCTTTAGAGACTCAACTCTAGATAAGAGGTGCATAGATGAGCTTGAAAGGGTTCCTAAACCCTTGGAAACTACATATAAAATGTGTGTGTATGCGTCTGCATTGTTTTCTGGGGAAAGGGTTCTTGGTTTTAATGAGAACGTCTGAGATTCTGTCTAAAACTCCCAGAACTTAAGAATCACCGTCAAATATCCATCTACCTATCCCTCACAATATCAATAGTAAACAGCAAAGATGTACGTGGTCATCGTCATCCCTTTGATCACCCCTATTTTCCTTATCTAGGGTAATACTACTCTCCTACCTCTTTTATCTAGCTCTGCCTAATCTATTACTCCCTGATGTCCAAAGTCCAAATCAGATTCTATTAAGAAGTCTCTTGCTTTCTCTTCCTATCCACATCAGAATTTCTTGAGTAATGCATCCATCCACTTATGTATATCATATAGGCCTTTTGATTTTTGCTATTTCTTTTGTATTCTATCTCATGGCTTAGCATAATACCAAAAAGAGTTGCCCAAAATTATGTAAGTAAAGTGAAATGAACTATATTTGGCAAGCGGCTGGTACTTATTTCAATATGAATGTATTTCTTGAATGACTTTTTTCTCCATATTGCCAATGGAGTATAAGTGGCATTATACTGTGATTTTCTGATTGTTAACTATTCACTCAAACCTTTATCAAATCTAGGGCTAATTTTACAAATTTTCCCACTGTAGAACATGTTTCAATAATTCTTAATATTGCTGAATTTTTAAAATTCACTTAAATGAACATTTCTGACTTCACATATATCATGAGTATGGTATGAATTTACTGATTGTAGGTTTTGGTATGAACATAATACTTTATTGCTTGTTTACATCTCAACATATGCAAAAATACTAATAGAATATTTAATCCAGTGAAACTTCATAGATGCCAAGTACTGTTCTGTACCTTATAGATTCCCTTTCATTTAATACTAATAACTCCATGAAACAGTTACTACTACAGAGAGGCAAAGTATTTGACTAAGAACATATAGCAGGTTGGTAAAGCTACTTATATGTAGGGAGACTTACTCTGGAGCCTGGCTCTGGGCTCTGTGTGTGTGTGTGTGTGTGTGTGTGTGTGYGYGCGCGCGCGTGCGTGCAAACGCACATGTGTATATAATAGCATAATTTTATAAAGGAATCAACGATATAAAGCTTAAGCTAAGCATTAAGAATGCACAAGGGAACATAATTACATCCCAAAATGTTTAAAACCAAAGAGGAGAAAAAGTCATCAACTATCTTATTGCTTACTGTGGTCTTTCCCCTGCCCTGGAGAAGTGCAAACACTTGCTTGAGGGGTCACTGGCATGAGGGCTTGGCGAATTGCTTTTTCCCAGCTCTGTGCTACATCAAGTCCAACTCCAGTGGCAGCAAGAACAGGATTGTGAGAGTTGTCCCCATTGTTCTCACCAACAAAGTATACCATAGTGTCAGTGATGATTTCAAAACAGTGTGGGTTACTGCCTTGTGAAATGTTTGTGAAATCTCGTGGTGAAGATACTTGGAGAATTTCTGAAAGTGGAATTTCCTGAAAGTGTAAGTAAAAAATTAAACTTTAAAAAAATATGAATACCTATTTGTTTTCATTTTTAAATAAGCTTAGAAATTTAAGACATGCATTTGAAAAAATTCCAATAAGATAAACAAAATATGTGGTATACTGAACACAGAATCAAGTCTTATGATAATGCCTGCCTTAAATGACCTGCATGTTTAGCAATGTGAAAGGCAGAGCATGAAATATGATAAGTATAACAAAAGATTTAGGCCTATAATACATTATTAGGATGCAGGAAGGAAAGGATTTAGGAGGGTAGTGTGCCACTATATCCAAAATTTTTTCAGTTTCCACTTGTCATTAAATTAGCTTAACAGCTATTTTTCTAGTGGCTACCTTTTTTGCAAGTTATAGCCCCAAAGTGAGCAAGAAGCAGAAAAAGCAGAATCTTGGGTCATTAAGAGGTCACATAAATACTCCCTGGTTCTGTCAACTGAAGTCAACTACCAGTCATTTAATGTTCAGTCTACTTCTTAAGGAAAAAAAAGTTTATTCTTAAAAACATGTTGTTGTGCTTCTGTGCATTTTCTTTCTTTTAAAGAGATGGGGTCTCCCTATGTTGCCCAAGCTAGCTCCAAACTTCCAGGCTCAAGTTATCTTCCTGCCTCAGACTCTGAGTAGCTTAGATTGTTCTAAGCACGAAACCATATTTCATTCACCAATTCTTTAATTTTTAGCTGCTTTTCCTTTAGAGACCATGCTTCATTCCCCTCTATGGAAAGTACTGGTATTGAACATTAAACTGGAGGGCTCCAAAAGAGCAGTGAAAGATGAAACTTTCCTCCCATTCTTTCTTACTGACCAAACTGCTACACTTATAATCTTGTTTAGTGTTAGTCTGTGACATGGCAAAAAGTGGTGCAAAGCCAAGGAAGAAGACTATACAAAGACAGAGAGTAAAAATAAATAACTGGGAACTGGAGCCCAAGATAATGTGGGCTCTTCTGCATAGGCAATGAAATGGACTTTCTAAGCTGTCCAATCTAAATCACACTATCCCAAATCAAAGCAGCTTCAACTTGACAGGACAAAACCACACATACAACCAAAAAGCAATCTTTGGTAGCAGGGTTGCTGATAGGAGTCGTGTGGAGGGGTGGAGAATAGGTGCTTCAATAAGAAATTTAACAGTGACTTCTATAAATAATATTAGGCAGGGTCATAACAGTATATATTTAGATATATTTGGAAAAATAAAATATTTTAATAACTTTCATAAAATGTAAAATGCTTACCTTGTAATACTTTGATCCAGATTCATTTTGAAATAATGTTAGACATTTGCTGTCAAGTCTCCAATAATGCCTCTTTCTCTATAAATTAGAGATCAAAAGATGATGAGGTTCAAAAATAATTCCTCCAAAGAACTTATACTTTCTTTTTCCTTAATTTCTACTCATAAGTGTGTATTCTTTTTAAAAAATATTTATTTTTTAGTTGTAGTTGGACACAATACCTTTATTTTATTTATTTATTTTTATGTGGTGCTGAGGATCGAACCCAGGGTCTCACATGTGCGAGGCAAGTGCTGTACCACTGAGCCACAACCCCAGCAGAAGTGTGTATTCTAGATAAGTTTAAAATCCACGATTCTAAATTTTCAAAATATAAGGTATAGAGTATCACTCCAACAGTCACTCAGATCCTATTCCTGACCCTCATTCCATTCAAACAATGTTGTTAGATTTTTGGAAACTGTTTTAGAGAAATGTATGCATGCTCATATAAATATGTATTTGTTACAGACATATACACACAGATATATAATTTACCTACTGGCAAAATTTCTAGAAGCTGACCTATTGGATCAAAAAATATGTGCATGTGTAATTTTAAAAATAGTGTTAAATTATTCTATACAAGACTTAATTTGCAGTCTCATCAGCAACATATGAGAGTACTATTTTACTCATACTCTCACTAATGCAGTATATTATTAAACTTTTTGATGTTTGATATTCTGAAAAATAAAAACTGGTATTTCAATGCAAGTTTAAATTGATATTTCTTTTATCGTAAATGAAATCAAATTCTTATATGTAAGAGTCATTTTTCTGTGAACTCTCTTCATATTCTTTTTAAATTTTTTTTTTAATTATACATGGGCCCAATGTATTTTATTTATTTTTATGTGGTGCTGAGGATTGAACCCAGGGTCTCACACATGTGAGGCGAGCACCCTACCGCTGAGCCACAACCCCAGCCCTCTCTTCATATTCTTTTCCCATTTTCCTACTGTGATGTGATGTTTTTCATATCTATTTATTGGCTTTATTCACATATTATGGAATTAACCCGTTTAGAAAACGAGTGAAAAATAATTTTTCCAGCTTGTCATTTGGTTTTTGCCATGTGGAATTTACAAGATTGAATTTACTGATTTTTTCCCCCTATTGGCAATTTATAAATAATAATTCTACAGTTTCTTCTACTGGTTTAATTTGTTTACATTTATTTTTTTATATATATTTATTTTTTAGTTATAAGTGGACATGTGTCTTTATTTTACTTTATGTGGTGCTGAGGATTGAACCCAGTGCCTCATGCATGCTAGGTGTGTGCTCTACTTCTGAGCCACAACCCCAGCCCCAATTTGTTTACATTTAAATTTTAGATCTACTTAGGTTTATTCCATGTAGAGTGTGGGTTATGTTTATGATTTCTTTTTTTTTCAAAATGACTATGTGGTTGTCCCAATACCATTTATTGAATTATCTACCTCTCACCTTGCTGATGTGATATAGTACCTTTGATATGCTGCTAAATTCCCAAACATGTATCACTCAGAGTTCCATTTAGAAGGATAAGGACTACAAATTAAAAATAATAATAATATTTATATCTCTCTATATATACATCTATAGTCTGTACTCCTGTCATCAAATAGAACTTCTTTAAAACCAGCTAAATGTATTGAATACTCTAAATATTCTTACAAGGTCTACTAAAAAGTCTTTCAGTAACCTTCATCAAATTAAGAAAAATAACAAAATAGTGGCTATTAAATACTTTCTTGAGTACTTACTGCATGTCAAACATTGTTCTAAACTTTTCTTACATATTAACTCACTTGGATCTGTGAGGTAGTTACTATTATTATAACAATATTACAGATGAGAAAACTGAGGCATAAAGAAAATAAGTAACTTTCCCAAGTTCACACAGTTTTAGTAAGTCACAGACTCAGGCAGTCTAGGTATAAAGTCTATGTTCTTAACTACAACACTAAGTTAACTCTTCATATCTACTGCCATCCCACTATAATTTCACCATTGCTTTTCTTTGCTAGCTAGATCTAAAAAATAATTTGACTGTTTACACTAAGTCAAAATCTACATAAAAACAGATGCCTCTATCTTTGGAATAACTTACAATGACTTTGGATAAGGTTCTAGTTCCTTCCACCTTTATTTGTAGTTCATTATGTTTTGATTCATTACTCTTTATTGTCATATAATATCGGATTCTTTTTTAGCGGGGGCGTTCAGGATTGAACCCAGGGGCACTATTGTCATTGAGTCACTTCCCTAGCCCTTTTTATTTTTTTGAGATAGGTTCTTTCGCTAAGTTGTTTAGGGCTTTGCTAAGTTGCTTAGGCTGTCCTTGAACTTGCATTCCTCCTGCCTCAGCCTCCAGTTGCTAGAATTACAGGTGTGCACCACCATGACTGGTTCAGAATCTTTTTGAATCTTGACTATTCTTTCAGTTTGTAAAGACAACACATTAGATGTTATGCCTTTCAAAAGCTTGTGTAACTATAATTCCAGTGTAACTTACATATTGCTATATTGTACACAGATGTCTTAATATATACGTACATTTCATCCTCATTTTGATTTTAAAAGTATGGAAAATAAAACTCAGAAGCAGGTTTCACTAGCATATTAAAAGATATGTAATTACTGACCAGATTATCCCTGCTGGTGTAATGGACCATCCACCCTTCCTTCACCATTGTGCTGCTCTTCCTCTTTGTGTGCTTGATGGATTGTACGACTCTCATTAGCGGAATATTATTGCTTGTTGATGGACTAAAAAATATTTAACATTTATAAATATTTATAATTTAGATTTTTTTTAAAACATCATAAATACTATAAGCTCATCAAGTCTTCTTAAAGTAACCGCTAAAATTTTTCAAACCATCTTAGGAAAACAGACAATTACTCAAAAGAAAATAAGTTAACCCTATTATTATGATACATAGAAAACTAAGATAATATTTTTTAAATACTCATTATTTACATGAGTAAATGATTTTTTTCTGGAGGGTCACAAAAAAATAGGAAAATAATAAACAGCAGAAAAAATACTCCTTAACTAGAAGATCTGGAGCTTGGAGGAGGGTCTAATCTCATTTGGATTTGCTGTGGAGTTGTTTTCTTGCCTAGCAGCATGATAAATTAGCAAATCCATAATATGGCAAAATACATATACTCAAATTCACATGGCTCAAATGTCAAATTCAGTTTATTATGTTGTTAGCGAAAGCCCCTCTAATAGTCAATACTAAAATAATTTTTTTAAAATATTTTTTTTAGTTATAGACGGACACAAAACCTTTATTATTTATTTTTATGTGTTGCTGAGGATCGAACCCAGTACCCCACATGTATGAGGCAAGCACTCTACCACTGAGCCACAATCCCAGCCCCAAAAGAAAATAATTCATAAATAATTCTTTCTTAAATAAATAAACCCAATGTTATCAGTCCAATCATATTATACTGTAATGTTGCTCAGTAACTATAGCTGGAGAAAAAGAGCAATCTGGTGTGTATAAATATGTGTATACATATATATATATATCTCAAATATAGTTTTGAAAGTTCATCTACAAACAGTTAAATAATGTTCTCTTCACTAGGAGGTATCCATGATTAGAAAACTAGCTAGATTTTTTTAGCARTCTCCAAACTGGGTAAACATAGTTTTAGCTAGTAATGGTAATGATAATAAAAGCTATAATTTAATGAAAAGTCAAAGTAAATAAATGATGACTCAGCCATGTGAGATTGATAAATGACCCATTTTTCTCTAAATAACTCTTCACTGCCAACTGAAAAACAAAGCCTGCCAAAAATGCTTACATCTTACTACAAAGTAGTATATCCTATAGGCAATGAATATTTAATTTACATAATAGTGAATATTTAAAAGTTTTATAGTCCAGTAACATTTGTACAAAAATGCTAATAGTCAGATTAACTGTGTTAGTATGAAAACTACCCTCAAATTCATGGCCTTCATTTTTATGCAGCATTCTCAAGAATATATTCTTTATTGCTATTCCTATCATCAGGTAATTTGCCTGTGCGAAGAAACTGGCTGCTTTAACTGATGATTTAATACTGACACCTTGTGGTTTGCCCCATAAGTAGACATTAAATCTAGACTGTATTTAAATATTTTTCTTTTTAAGAAAAATGGATGGCAAAAATGATATTTATTTCAGAAATACTGTAGTGCATGTAAAAGAATTAGCCTCAACTTAGATTTTAAATTACATTTAAAGTTCAACTTAAAGAGATGAAAGTTTTTCTTAATAGAGATCCTAACCTGACCATGATTTTGGAAGCAGTCTGCAACATCTACACGTGTTACCTGATTGTTTTAATAGCTTCTTCATCTCGTTCCACATCAAGATCAGATGGATCCAGGAAGAACATTTTATCTTCTGGGGGAGATGGCTCTTCTGTGTCATCCAAGCCTCGACTACCATCACTGTTTATGTCACTATTGTCAATGTCCATTGGTATATCTGTATCTGTTCCCAGACTGGAAGGTTCTGGCAAAGTTTTAAATGAATTTCAGAGTTTTATGTTAATGAAATAACATATCTAAGTAGTCTGTTAAACAGGAAAAAACATTTTAAAACTCTTAAAATATAGAAAAATATCTTTGTGATTCAAGATAAATAAGTATTTCTTAAAGAAGATACAAAATGGGGGCTGGAGATATAGCAGAGTGCATGCCTCTCATGCACAAGGCCCTGGGTTCAATCCCCACCACACAAACACACACACACACACACACACACACACACACACAAAATCATGAGGTACAAAATTAATTTTGATTATGTTAGAATTTTAAATTTCCATATGACAGAAGGTACTGCATATAAGCAAAATAAAAGATAAGCCCCTATTTTACATTTTGGTAAAAAAAAATTTTTAGTAACAGTACCAAGACAATTCAATGAGGAAAGAATTAAATAGTCTTTTAAATAAATGCTGATAGGACAACTGGATATTTACATACAGAAGAATTGAGTCTGATGCCTTTCTTAAACTATATTAAAAAATTAACTCAAAGTAGATCAACCTAAAATATAAGAGTTAAAACTATAAATGCTTAGAAGAAAACATGGGAGTAAATATTTGTGATCTTGGTTTATGCAAAGCCTTCTTAGATACAACAACAACAGCCTAAGTGACAAAAATAATTAAATGCATGCACTGGATTTCATCAAATAAACATACTTCTATGGGGTACACCACACCTTAAGAAAGTGAAAAGACAGCCCTCAGCATGGGAGAATATACCTGTAAATTATATATTACATAAGGAACTTGTATCCAGAACATCTGAAGAACTTTTATAACAATAATTAAAAAAACAAATAATTTAGTTAAATGGGGAAAGGACCACAAGAGAAAGTTCTCCAAAGAGGAGATAAAAACTGCCAACAAGCACATGAAAAGATGCTCAATATCATTAGCCAACAAGGAAATGCAAGTGAAAACCACAATGAGATACACTTAACACTTACTAGATACCTATAATCAGAAAGACAGATAACAACAGGTGGTGAGGACACAGAAAAACTTAGATTTTCATATATTGCTGGTGGGATGTAAAATAGTGCAGCTGCTTTGGAAAAGTCTGACAGGTCCTCAAAATGTTCAACATGAAGTTTCTGTTTGACTCAACAATTCTACTACTAGGTATCCATTCAAGTGAAATAAATGAAAATATCTCCTTTGAAAAATTATACAAATGTTCATAGCAACCTTATTCTTTTTTTTTWAAATATTTTATTTACATTTTAGTTTTTGGCAGACACAACATCTTTGTTGGTATGTGGTGCCAAGGATCGAACCCGGGCCGCACCCATGCCAGGTGAGCGCTTGAGCCACATCCCCAGCCCCGCAACCTTATTCTTAACAGTCCCAATATAACTCAAACATCCATTGATTGATGAATGGATAAATAAAAATGCAGCATAAACCTGAAAAGCAATATTATTTGTCAATAAAAAATGAATTAAGTGGGGCTGGGGTTGTGGCTCAGTGGTAGAGTGCTCGCCTAGCATGTATGAGGCACTGGGTTCGATCCTCAGCACCACATAAAAATAAAGATATTGTGTCCACCTAAAAATGTAAAAAAATATATAAAAAATGAATTAAGTATTGACAGATGCCACAATAGAGATGAACCCTGCAAACATTAATGCTAAGTAAAACAAACCACTCATACGACTACATATTGTGTAATTCCAAGTATACAAATGTCTAAAATAGACAAAAACAAAAAGTTGATTAGAGGTTGCCAGGGGTAGCAGGAAGGAGAGGACAGGAACCACTAGTTATGGAATTTATTTTGGGGGTGATGAAAATGTTCTAATATTACAGTTACAACTGTGTAACTTTGTGAATGTATCCACTAGATGAATTGTAAGGTATTCAAATTACATCTTAAATCTGTTAAAACATAAAGTCACTGAGAAGCTACTTATACCATACATAACTGAAAAAGGATTAGTATGTAGAATTAACAACTTCTGAAAATCTATAATAAACAAACAAAATAGCAAAGCATTTGATCAGGCAATTTACAAGGAAAGAAATTCTAAATAATAAATAAACATCTGAAGGATGCTCCAACTCAACAGTAATCAGAGAAATGCACACTAAAATACATAGTATTTCATATCCATTTRTCAAAGGAAAAAAGATACAAAAATGCAAATAAATGAACTGTAAATTTAGAGAAGACTTCAGTCATAGAAAACTATATTAATAAAGATTAATTGAAAAATAAAACCAACTTTACTTTGTCAGTGATGTTACCTAGCTATGGTGCAAATGACTGTTTGTACCCACAATTCATTTGCTGAAATCCTAACTCCCAGAATATGGTATAAGGAGGTGGGGCCTTTGAGAGATGATTAAATTATAAGAGATCTGCTTTCATAATTGGGATAATGCCCTTATAAAATAGGCCCAATGGAGCTGGTTTACCCATTATACCATCTAAAGATGCAGCTAAAAGGTACCATCTATGGACCAAGAGATGGACACCCTCACCAGACATAGAATCTGCCAGCACCCTGAACTTCCCAGCCTCTAGAACTATAAAAAAATTTTTTGTCATTTATAAGCTACTGAGCTTTTGGTATTTTATTATAGTAGCCTGAACAGACCAAGACAATCAGTAGCAATGGAAAGCATGCCACAAGAGAAAACATTAAACTCTGTTTTTCAAATTTTCTTTTTCTATTTTGCGGTGCTTGGGACTGAAACCAGGGCCTCATACATACTACACAAACAACCACTAAGCCGCATTCCCAGCACAAGAAAATGTTAAGCTCTCAAGTAATTTAATTTTTCATTTCTTATGCTTTTTCTACAGAATAACATATTATTTTTTTAATAGTCATGTAAATTGTCAAAGGAAAAATATGTTGAAAATTTAGAGCCCTTCCTCCTTCATTCAAAAAATGGTAATGTCTTTGCTTAGTATTATCTTGAAAAGTGAAGGGGTAGGGGGGGACATGACGACACAATGACAGAGAGCAGGGTAGTGTTTCAATGACTATGAACTAAGGTACCCAGATCATATGATCATATGGGTCCAAATTCTGACTCCGCTAACTATTGGCTGTATTTCTGACAAGTTATTTCATGTCTTGTGCCTTTGTTTACTCATTTGTTGGTACTTATCTCAAAGGGTTGTTCTTCTTATATTTAAATGTCAATATATTTCTAGAGTTCAGAACAGTGTATAACATAGTAAAAAGCTAATAAATACAGGAACTTTGCAAGAATAAGGACAACAGCAGGGTTTTAAAAAAGATCTTATGTCTACAGATGGAAGTTGATATGTAGCACTACTGGCTATTTTAAACAACAAAGTGGAACGTGGCTAGAGGAAAGATGGGACAGTATAATTATTATTATTATTTTTTTTAAAAGAGAGAGAGAGAATTTTAATATTTATTTATTTATTTATTTATTTTAGTTTTCGGCGGACACAACATCTTTGTTTGTATGTGGTGCTGAGGATCGAACCCGGGCCACACATATGCCAGGCAAGTGCACTACTGCTTGAGCCACATCCCCAGTCCAACAGTATAATTATTATTGAATGAATAGTATCACTAATCTCTATAGTTTGCTTGATTATTAAATCTAAAAAAACCTTAAAAAAGAAAAATAAACAAAGTAAAATATGTAAATATGACTTGACACAAAGGTAATACACAAAGGAATCATGATCTTTTCTGTTCTTTTACAGAAAATAAGAAAAATAATTTTACCTCCATTGAAAGTAACCTCTCCAAGGCAGTCTCTTGGTACTTTTGATGCACAGCGTTTATGGCAATTGAATTTACAATCTAAAATAAAAATATATGGCTTATTATTATTATATGTAGATAGGCAATATCAGATGTGGTTAGACTTTCCTTAAATCACACATGGAATATAAATACTAATGATGATATTGCTGCTAAAATAATAGTATCTTCCTCCACTAAGAACTCAACTCTTGCAATAAAGGTCTGGTTAACTTCTGATGACACATCTTAATAGTTATTTAACCTTCCACAAGTTACTCATCTCCACCAGGGACCTTCATCTGTATAGTGGGGCTAGTAGCATTAATATAACACTGCAAAAGTGTGCTGGCAGCTCCATGTTTACTTCTCTTATCTCACATGCATTGTATCTCTTATCTCACTGTATTTCCTATATTTTAAGCTGATAATCTCCTATAAGAGTCTTTTAAGCTGACATCTAATGTATGTCAGATATATATTTTTATCTTCTGAGTATTAAAACCTGATACAGATGCTAAAAGGTACCAGATGCAGAAAGGAGACTGAGACTCCAAATATATTCTAATAAGGATTTTCACATACAGCCCTGTAAGAAAGGACTTATATCTCCATTTCTACATAATGGTTTTCTTCTGCCTACAAGAACCTCAGAGTTGATGGCACTGCAGAATAGAATCAGATATAATCTATTCAACATGACTGTATAACTCAGTGGTTCTCAAATTGTGATCCCCAGCTCAGCATCAGCATCATTTAGCAACTTGTTAGAAATGTAAATTCTTAAAAATAAGGCTGAGAAATTTGTGTCCTAATGAGCTTTTTAAGTAACATTAAAATTGAGATCCACTAATGTAACCATGTCTAACACTGCCTCTGAGATCAATTTACCAAAAATAACTGGGTAAAAAAAATTTGAGTCCTGATTTACAATGCTTTGTAACTCTTGTGAGTCAAGGAAATCTCATGTATCACATGAGCAGCATAGGTTGAAAGTCATTATAGAAAAAAACAGCCATGAACTTAATAATTTGATGGGTAATAAACTTCACATTAGGTATAGTCTTTAGGAGAGGTCCTAGTAAAAAAATCATACATGTTAATATCTTGTATATCTCTTAAGCAACATATTAGGTTTTAATTTCATAAACTTTGCAAATTCTGCAAATAACAAGTTCCATTTTCCCTTTGAAAATGTAAAGCTAAATGGTCCACTTGTAGTATATAGGTTCTAATTGTAGGCATTTTTATTTCTTTATGTTCTTACCCATTTATTAAGTAATTTATTTATGCTTGCTTAGATTTTACACATGACTTCAAGCTGCATTAAGTTTTTGTATAGGAAAGGAATTTGAAAATAAAAGAATAAAATAAATAAATAAATAAAATAAATAAAATAAATAGATGGATGAATAAATGAAGAGTGATCAATGACCCCATATAATTTTATTGTTAACATTTTTTTTGCTTTCTTAGCTTTTCAAATGAATGAAAACAATGACTATTTTCCTTTTTAACTGTATTAATTCATATTATAATAAACAGGAATTGCTGGATTATAATTATATTGATCACTGAAAAGGCTCAGCTATTCAGAAATATTAACTTGACATTTTCTGAACCAGTATAAGCACAAAATATTATTCTTCTAGAATCCTAAAAGGTTAATCTAATAATCCAGTGGCAGAGTTAACAGGCTTTATTTAAAAACTCATCAATCTGAGGATGCAGCTCAGTGGTAGAGCACTTACCTCACATGCACAAAGCCCTGGCTGGGTTCAATCCCCAGTATGAAAAAAAGGAGAGAAAGCCTAATGCCTGAAAGAGTCATACAGTAGGAATAYAGTAGGTAGTAGATAACCATAACTTACCTTACAAGAGCCAAATTCTTGTTTTTCTGTGTACTAGTGATGTAACTTTTTTTTGTTATTGTGGTGGTGGGGATTAAACTCAGGGCCTCATGCATGTTATGCAAGTGTTATACTGGTAAGTTACATCCCCAGCTCCACTAGCTATGTATGTGATCTTAAGCAATTTACAAATGGAAAATGACTGCTAGTACTAATGATTTTCATACAATGTTTGGTATGTAGTACAAACACTGCAGGTAAAAGTTAACATACACACATATATATATTTTTAATATTTGGTTTTTAGTTATAGGTGGACACAATATCTTTATTTTATTTTTATGTGGTGCTGAGGATCAAACCCAGTGCCTCACCCATGCTAGGCGAATGCTCTACCTCTGAGCCACAATCCCAGCCCCGACACATATATTTTATATGCTCTTACATACACACACACACACATACACACCTTTCTTTTTAAAGCTGACAAGTAGAAGAACAATTTCTTCAGCAAATTCTTCTAAATAAAAATATTTTAGTAGCTCAGTAGTAGAGCACTTGCCTAGCACATGTGAGGCACTGGGTTCAATCCACTGCACTACATAAAAATAGACAAATAAAATAAAGGTATTGTGTCCATCTACAACTAAAAATATTTTATATTTATTAAGAAAAAAAAAGAAATTTTACTGAAAGAAAACATTCAATCCTACCTTTGCACTGCATTCCTTGGCGAAAGAGACCTTTCAGTAACCGTTTGCAGTACTGACATATTGTGGGGCGGCCGTAAGAGTGAACAGCAAACGTGTGTGGAACTTTTACTCTGCACATTACCATCTTTTCCATCCAGATTGGGCGACCACTCCAAGATGGAATTCTCTTACTTGGTTCTTGGTGAACATGTGACTAAAATATAAATAAGTCAATATTAAAAACAAAGTGTGGGAGCACAGCTTAACCACAAAAGTCATTATTTGCAATGCTAAAGTCAATAATCTGAAATGTGGATTTCAGCAATTTCCTATGGAAAATTTAGTTTATCAACCCTTGAAGGAGAAAGTAAAGATTCTTTTTCTTGCTATTATTCACATTAAAAACAACAACAACAAATGAAAATAAGGTGTGTTCATTCAGATATGTTACTTTTTTCATTGACTAACTATTATTTGCCAGGCACGTTCAGCATATAATTAAAAGCCAAAAACCTTAATATGATGCAATTATTTTATTTTTTTGTAGTAATGAGGATCATATCTTGGGGTGCTCCAATACTGAGCTACATTCCCTGTTCTTTTTATTTATTTTTTGTTTTGAGGCAGTGTCTTGCTAAGTTGCCCAGTCTGGCACTGAATTATGATCCTCCTGCCTCAACCTTCTAAACTGATGGAATTATAGGGGTGTACCACCATGATCGGTTTAACATTAATTTATAACTAATTTTCAAATCTATTCAAAACATGACCAAAGCCAGGAATGGTGGCTCGTGCTGGTTATTCCAGCCACCCAGGAGACTAAGGCAGGAAGATCACAAGTTTGAGGCCAGCCTCAGCAACTCAGAGGACCCCTAAGCAACTGAGTGAGATCCTGTCTCAAAATAAGAAATAAAAAGGGCTGCAGATGTGGCTCAGTGATTAAGTGACCCTGAGTTTAACCTCCAAACCCAAAACAAACAAACAACAAAAACAAAACCCTAAGGATTTAATCATAGAAAATGTACATAAATTTGAAGAGTATTATTGTATTACTGAACATGAAGTCTCAAAATTATTTTAAAATAAATTTTAGATTTTCAAATATATCTCAACCAAAATATATAAATTTATGTCTAATTCATTTTGATGATACAATTAATGACAGATACAAAATAATTAAAATGGCTTTAGCTTTAGGGGCTGGGGCTGGGGCTCAGCGGTAGAGTGCTCACCTAGCATGTGTGAGGTGCTGGGTTCAATCCTCAGCACCACATAAAAATAAATAAAATAAAGGTATTGCGTCCAGCTACAACTAAAAAAATGCATTTTAAAAAAATAGCTTGTGCTCGCTTCGTCAGCACATATACTAAAAAAAAACGGCTTTAGCCTTAGTAATTAGGCTTTAAGTAGTTCCTTAATATTTTCAAGTTCTTTGGATTTTTTTCTCCCAAGTGAACAAAAAACAAAATTAAAGAACAATATGAAATTTTTGTGTAATGTAAGGTGTAACTATGGCTCTTTCTATATGAAGAAAATAAAGTAAATTTTTGGCTATTTCAATGTGGCTCATTTCATTCATTCACCAAACATTCACTTATTATTATATGCTAGGCCCCATGTTATATATTTGGGACACAAAACTGAATAAAACATAACCCAGGTTCTCAAGCACAAAGTTAAATACCTAACTACCACCTAGATATATGAATAGATTATGCTGTAGGTAACTACTTGCATCTTCTCTGCCAGAAATGAGGTCCTGAGACTGTTTGGATGTCTTCTGTAACTAGAAATATTTATAACTCAGAAAAGCTGAGTTATTCTATATTGATATGTTCCACTAATGGAAGCGAAAGAAGTCAGAAAAAAACAAGAGACAGAGAAATGTAAGAGGAAGTAAAAGGAGGAAGACGAGCAAAAAACAGAAGAAAAGGAAAAGAACAAAACAACTGAATGCAGAACACTATAAAAGGAACACAAATGTAGTTTCAGATCAATAGTTTTTTCCTAATGTGTAGCGAGAAATTTCTGAAATGAATTATGAAGCTGTTTAATTCAGGAAAAGTTCAAAAAGAATGTTAAAACCCAAACCACACTTGCATGCTTCAGATGTCCAAGGTGTCTAGTCTGGCTCACCCTTCCTCCCTGCTGCCATGCATGGAACACCTTCAGCCAAAGGAACACCACAGGGATTCTGCAAAGTTAAGAAAGAAGCCAAAGGGAACCAGAAACAGATATTTTAAGTCTGCTCACTCCTGGCTTCCTGTTCTAATGGTGGCTCAACACTCTGCTTCTCTTGATTCTGCTTCTACCACTTTTGATTTATCTCAAGTTCAAAACACACAAGGTGGAGTTAGACTGATTTAGGCAGCCATGATTAAACATAAAGGGCACTCCTGTAAAAAAGAAACTTCATAACAGACCTTTACACATATCAGTGGTCAGTTACTGCCTTCTGGTCAGGTCCTGCTGGGATTAGGGTCTTGGGGACATGGTAAAGACCATGTGTATCAGGAACTGTTCAGAGGATCAAGGTTGTAGCAGCCACCTAATATGTTATATCCAGGTAAAGTTATTTATGTTATCTCAATTTTAAATAGAAAAAAATAGGCTCAAAGGGATTAATACCAGTAAGCGGTAATATCAGAATCTAGATTTATGTTTAGTTCTTCTTCATTCTAGTCCATCTACAGATTTCACATCTCAATATATTGAGGGGGCTGGAGTTTTGGCTCAGTGGTAGAGCACTTGCCTAGCACCTGTGAGGCACTTGGCTTGATCCTCAGCACCACATAAAAATAAATAAAGATACTGTGTTCATCTACAATTAAAAAAAATTTTTAAAAATATATTCAGGCTTCCAATACAATCCTACTTGTAACAGCAGTTTGTCTATTAAGGAAGAAATGGTATGGCAGACTTAATCAGAATTTGAAGGAAAGAGAACGTTGGTAGATTAGCAAGAGAAATTGATTAAAATGGAACTATGAAGGGGCTAAGGATTTAGTTCAGTGGTAGAGCTGCTTATTTAGCATATGTGAAGTCCTGGGTTTGATCCTTAGCACCACAAAACAAAAAAACCACATACAAACAAAAAATTCACCACGATCACCACAAAAATCCCAAACACAGGATACTTAAAAAGAAACACATAAGGTCTATCTGGAAAAATATCTGCAGGGCTTGAAGTTTAGCTAAATGATAGAGCATGTGCAAAGCCCTAAGTCCAATCCCTGGCAGCGGGCGCGTCACACACACACACACACACACACACACACACACACACACACACACACACAAAGGGGGCAGGGAACTATTGAGATTAAAGTAACAATGAGTGAAATTTCTTCTTACCTTGTTTTAATGTCCCCTATTTACAAATTACCATTTTGCTTAAATTGTTATTTCTTGCCTATTAATGCAAAGCCAGAAATTTTCTAAAAGTAATTGATTATTTCCACAGTTTAGTTTTAAGCTAACATTTGCCCAAGTTAATTGTCCACAAAAACCATATAACATTGCCAATACTATATTGTATATAATAATGAAGAAAATAAAAGCATTTTTAAAATCAGTAATTCCTCAATTATGTATATTTAATTGGCTTTGGAATATTTCTCAGTGAAAGAAATATCTCCACTTTTACACATACACTTAGATCCAACATTTTCTTTCCATTCTGTTCTATACCCTCAAGGATATAAAGAAGCACTTAACTGTCTCATCTTCAAAAAGTCAGCACTCAATTTTGGATTCTTTAACCTTAGTGATCCCAATCTAGCCAAACTCAATGAACAGTATATCTTCTTCTATTCTTCTTCTATCTCTGTTTCCTCTTTAGACTGACTTCTGATATAATAACAGAAACGGCCTTCTTACATGTGAACAAAAACCATCTTGTTAGACTCAAAGATTTCTAATACGAATAATATCTCAGTGACTCACAAACTTTTCTTTCTCATTTCCCTACCTATATAATCAGGACAAGACTATAGCTCCTAGGAGTGTGGTTAGGAGACATGGTAAAGCTCCTAGCACAAAGCCTGGCACATGTGAGCCACTCTGCTCTTCTCTTTGTTCAGCTGTCTCCTCTGTTCCTATAGTGTATCCTCTCTTCTTATCTTTCTTCCTTGTGATTTTCCTCCCGAGTTCTTCCTTTACTTTATATCTAACTTTCTGAGACTGCATGACTAGATTAACAAAACAAAACCTTGAGGACTTTCCACTCTACCAGTTTTACTTGTTGTAAAATATTCTAAGCAATCAAGCCAATTCAAACTTGTCACTCTACTTCTTATACTTTCCTAAGGAACTTTCATCTTTAGGATAAAATATAAGCCAAGAGATTTAAATTTAACTAGTTAGCCTCCTGTAGCCATGGGTTTGGCATCCACATATTCAGCCAATCCTGAACTACAAATGTAGTTTGCCCATGGTGGATGAACCTGTATTGAACATACACAGACTTTTTTTTTTCCCTTAGGAATAAAGTTCCCAAAACAGTAAGAACAACACCTATTTACACAGCATTTGCAGCATATTAGGTATTATAAGTAATCTAGAAATGATTTAAAGTATATGAGTATATGCATATATAAATGTACCAAAGAGAATTTCACAATTCTGTGCATGTTGAAAGTACRAATCAAAAATAAAGGAGTGAAAGGAAGATCAATAGAGGAGAGGAGGAAGAAGGGGAGGAAGAAGAAAAAATATATACAAGAGGATGTGTGAAAGTTATATGCAAATACTATACCATTTTATATAAAGGACTTGAGCATCCATGAACTTGTTCATAAGATGCACCAACTTTCCTACTATCAATCTTCACCCAAGCTTTTCCACATGTTTATATCTAACTCCTTGTTCTTGGTCTCTATGCCACAGTATTCTTCTTCGACTTTAAAATCAGAAGGTTTTACCCCAATATCTCAGTATACCAAAATCTTGTAACCCCCTTGGGCATCAAGACAATATCCCAAGTCTTGATTTTGCCACTAATATACTGAAGATCAAAAAGGTTATAAAACAACTAAATGATAAGATTACGACCTATGGATGAAAGTCATTTCAAGTACTATTAAATGATTAAGGGAGTTATTTCTTTTTTCTCTGACCTTTATCTTTGAGAAGCACAATACAATAGGGAGAAAAATCACAGATTTAAAAATAATGAGATCTGGATTTAATTCTAATATCTCTTATTCATTTGCTCTGTGACTTCAGACAGGTTCTGGGTCTCCACTGTCTTATGTGTATACAGACTTATGAATATACCTCAAAATGTGAGGTTCAATGGAATCATTCACTCACTAATTCAYGCACCAACTGAGTATCTACTAAGTACCAGTTACTGTGATGAGCATTAGGGGCACATAAAGACACAAATATTGTCTTCTCTAAATAGATAATAAACTCCTTCGGGACACAAAAGTGATATTAGGTAGTATGTCATATACACAATTAGAAAGTTTTGAAAAGTATGATGTCATTCACAAAATAAAATAACTTCTAGGTAAGGAAAATTAGGAAAGGCAGGTAGGTAGCTATTGAGGTAGATCTGGAAAAACTATGTACGACTGACATGAAGAACAGAGTTAGGAGGAACAAGGATGTGCAGGAAATGTTGGAATAACGTAGACTGCCAGGAACATAGACTATATAAAGATTTCTGTGATGGTTAATCTTGGTTATGGACCTGACTAGATTGAGAAATGTTTAGAAAATCCATAAAGCTTATTTCTGGGTGTGTCTGGAAGGGTGTTTCCATAGATGACTGACATGCAGGTCACAGAACTCAGTGGGAAAGACCTGCCCTGGATGTGCGTTGTCCAATAAGCTGGGGTCCTGGCTTTAACAAAGAGCGGAAGAAGAAGAAAACTTGTACATGCATACTATCCTCTTTTAAGTGGGAGGATTCTTTTTTTTTTTTTTTTTTTTTGCTGCCATCACAGATTCCAGCTTCTTCAGCCTTTGAATGTGCACTTGCACTAGAAACTCTCCAAGACACTTTGGGGCCTGTAGCCTTGAAATGGGGTTCATTATTGGTCCTTCTTACACTCTGAGGTTTCAGCTTTTTCGACTGAGCAGCTCTCCAGCCTACAGATGGCCATGTAGGACTATTAAACCTCTGACTGTATACGTCAATTTAATAAATTCCCTCTTTTAATCTCTCTCTCTCTCTCTCTCTCACACACACACACACACACACACACACACACACACACACACTATTGTTTCTGTTCTTCTGGAGCTCCCGAACTAATAGTTTTCTAGTGGGAAGCAACATCAAGTTGCATATTAGGGAAACTCATCTGGCTGTTTTATATGAGATGGAAAGTTAAGTATGGAGACCAGGAGCCAGGATACTGGCTAGTAGCTAATGCAATGGCCCAATTGATAAAATAATGCAATCCTTAGGTACACAAAATCCAATTTATTCCTACTGGTAAGATTTGTCGTCATTATTACATTTTAAACTTCTTAAGTGTAGAAATATTACTATATTTAATTATATAAGTTATATTCTAGAATGATGTCATACCCTGTGGAAGCATTAGGAATAACTAGCAAAACCTCCTTCTATTTCCTTAGAATACATACCTCTTCACTGAGAAGGGCTATACACTCAGGCTGTAGGGGTCTTGGAACTGAGAGGCCAGGTCCTGGTAGAGATACATTCGATAGCCGTCTCTTTCTTACTCCACTACAGTTATTTGGTATCTTGAAGGCACACCGTTTGTGATAATTTAGTCCACAACCTAAATATATTTTAAAAGGTAAAATGTAAGATCAAAAAAACTTTACTGCTTACATGTGACACATAAAAAACTATCACTTCTTTTACTTAACTTACTTTCTCTGTCAACAATATCTACCCTGATTAAGAACTCAGATGACAGGCTAAGTAGAAGGTAACAAATTCAAGAACAGGAAACATGCAGAAAGGTTTATTTAGAAAGGTTAAGTTAGCTTTAAAGTAGTAGATCCTGAAGTGCAATCCCAAAGGCAATCACCTTGGAATTTGTTAGAAATGTAAATTACTGGTTTCACCTCTGATTTACTTCATTAGAAACTCAGGAGGGGGCCTACCTAAGTGTTTTATGATGCCTGGTAAAGTTTGAGAGCCACAGCTTAATACAGTGGCCAGCAGCAAACTGTGGTCATGTATCAAATCTTTCCTTAGATGAGAAAACCGTATGAAACTCAAATATCAGTGTTCAAAAATACAACTTTTACTGGAACACAGCCATGCTATTTGTTTATGTATTGTCTATGGTTTGTTTCACACTACAACAACAGAATTAAGTCACCAGAGACACCACATGCTCTGCAGAACCTAAAATATTTACTCTCTGGCTATTACAAAAAAGTTTATTGACCCTACATACTAAAAGACTGCTTCTTTGTAAAAAATGTACATCTGCAGCCTATCCCCTAGCAATTCTAATTTAGAATGACTTTGACCATTATATTTAAGAAACTTAACTTTCTAAAAACTTTTAAGTAAGGAGGTTAATATTTACTGAGCCACATTTTGTGCCAAATGTTTTATCTATATTACCTTATTTGAACCATTCATGAAACCAGTGGGGTTGAATATATTTTTACAGAGAAATCAATCCTCAGGTCTAGTAAGTTGCCTATGAATAAAAATGTGTAGGTGGCAGAAGTAGGAACAGAATCTTATAATCTCTGCAATCCTTTTTTTTTTTTTTTYCCCCTTCTCAGTACTGGGGATTGAACCTGGGGTATTTTACCACTGAGCTACATTCCCAGCCCTTTTTATTTTTTATTTCAAGATAGGATCTCATTAAGTTGCTTGGGGCCTAARTTGTTGAGATTGGCCTTGAACTTGTGACCCTCTTGCTGAAGCCTCCCAAATCACTGCACCCAGCTAATCTTTGCAATTCTAAACCCTGGTTACTACTAGATCCAACTATGACTTGTTTTTTCTTTAATAATAAAAAATGCAAATATGAAAAATTTTAAACCACATACCTTCACATTTTAGTCCCTGACGTACCAATCCCCAGAGCATCTCACCACAATAATCACAAAAAGTAGGAGCTTTGTAAGAATGTACATAGAGTGTATGTGGTCGAATCTGGAAGTCTTCTACTGTGGCCAAAGCTTTTAAAAAGAGAAGTATTAAAATAAACTTTGCATTTGTAATTACAAGGAGATCAGAAATGCTCACCAAGTACATTTATGTTGAAACAGAATCACCATTTCTCTAAAACTTTCATTTAACCATAAAATTAAATTATTTTCCACATTCTGTACTGTGAATTTTAAACTTGTTTAGAAAGTCCACTGGCTTCAAATTTTGAACTCCAACTCAACTTGGAGGTCTGTATGCAGATTATTTGGTCCTTCACAAGCATTTTCATATAATGACAAGACGATAAATAGTTGTTAGATCTATTTTAACTAATTAAAAATTGTTTAGCTTCCAATACACCGGGGGAAAAAACACTAAAATTAAAATGAAAATACTGTGGAACTTAACCTCAATTTATCACAAATTTCTGTTGGAAAAGAGTTCTAATTTAGGATCCCATGATACAATCTGTTTGTTCTCCATAGTCTTAGTGATTAAGAGAGAGACTCCTTTCCTCTCAGTGAACAAAAGAACAAACCTGCAAGTATAATTACTATACATCCTTATGGTTTTATTCCCACTGGTCCATAACAAAGAAGGAATGGATGTGAGCATGACTTGCAGGGAAGGCAAGGAATGGAAGCCCCTCATGAGTGAAAAAGACAAGGAATGGAAAGTATATATATATAGTTTGGGGTTGTAGTTTAGAAGAGTGATGGGGAGGGGATAGATGAATGACAAGAACAGAAATATAACAGAAGTAGGAACTTAAAAAGAAAGGTGATGTTGGTCAGAGAGGCTCTAAAGAATAGGCTCAAAGATGAGTTTGGGGTGAGGGAAACGTGGTAGCAGGACTCTGAATTCTTAGGTGGCAAGTTTATTTGCTTTTTCTATCAGTCTTCCTTTCTTGTCAAACAAAAAGTATCACAGACCTATTATGTGCATAATTATGACATTCTTTCTCCCTTTACATATGTCACTAACAATCTTGCCCATAAACTGTTGATGAGACTAAAAATGGAGTTAAGGAACAAGGAATGGCAAAAGCAAATAAGGTAAAGAGGAAAATGCCCATTGGGAACAAAATGGGAAGAAAATTTTTTTCTGATATTATTAGTTCATTTTAGTTATATATAATATTAGGGTTCATTTTGACACATAATTATACAATCATGGAATATAATTTTCTCTAATTCAGTCCCTACTAGGAAGAAGCATCTTTTTTTAAGCCAAGGAAACCAGTACTGTTATTTCCTCTTTCATATCTTTAATATTTTTTTTCCGATTCTTTTTTCTGAACCTCAATTTCCCTCATCTAAACTGTTTATAAAATGGGAAAAAGAAAACAAAATTTTAATAGTTTTATTTATTTGATTCAGATAAAAAAAGAACATATTTCTTTGTCAGTTCAATTGACAATTCCATTAATTTAGTAAAACCCAAGTAATTTGCAGTTCATTTTCCTACTTTTTTCATCTGTGAAAGTAGTAAGTAATCTTCCTAAAAGTAAAATTACATAGTAGTGACTATTTTATAGAGGAAAGAAGTAAGCAACCATATAGTACCAAGACCAAATGTAACTGAACATAGCATTTAATGCAGAAAATAAAGCTCTTTGCAAAAATTAAAATAAAAAAGAACAAAATGAAAGGAGTTATTTACTTACCTGAAAGAACAACTTCTACTAGATCTCCTTCATGTATTTCATCTGCTGAGGTAATCAGCTGCAAAATATTTTCTGAGTTCATGTCATGGCGAAAGAGAAGAATTTTATCATACATGCCAAAGAATCCACACTCTGGAAACTGTGGGAAAATAGTCCTATATCAATATACTCATAACTTTCTGTTTTTATAAGTAAATGTCTCAAAGTTATGAGAGAATTTTTAATAGTGTTTTAGCTTAACATTATTTGATAGCAATTTTATTGATATCCAAAAAAACCACACTCAAGCTTTGTGGTTAATATTCAAAAATAGAAAAGTAAATTTATAAATAGTCACTGATTATCTTTTTTTTTTTTAAGAAAGAGGAGAGGGAGAGAGAGAGAGAGACGGAGAGAGATTTTTTTTTTAATATTTATTTTTCAGTTCTTGGCAGACACAACATCTTTGTTGGTATGTGGTGCTGAGGATCGAACCTGGGCTGCACGCATGCCAGGCGAGTGCGCTACTGCCTAAGCCACATCCCCAGCCCCAACTGATTATCTTAAAAGACAAAATCTCTTTGAATGAAAGCACTTTTTTTGTTTGTTTGTTTTGTGTCGTGCTGGGGATTGAACCCAATGCCTCCTACATGCTGGATAAATGCTCTGCCACTGAGCTACATCCCCAGCCTCACACCTCTTTGAAATAGGAATTTTTATATTGCTGATGAAGAATATAATCTTGAACTCATACTTTATTATTATATAGCTTGAAAGACAAGTAGTTTTTCACATTCTCTAGAACTGCATTGTCTGATATATAGCTTCTATATTTGCTACTATAGTTTGGATCTTAAGTCCTCACCAAAGATTTATGTGTTACAGGCTTGGCACCTTGGGGTGGTGCTATTAGGAGATCATAGAGCACTTACGTGGTAAGTAGGGTTACTGGAAGGTTTTTATGTCATTGTTCCCTGAAGGGACTGTGGGACCCTGGTCTTTTTTTTTTTTTTTTTTTTTAACTGTCTTTTGCTCCCTCATGAGGTGAACAGTTCTATTCTGCCTCATGCTTCTACTATTATGTGTTTCTTCACTGAAAGCAAGTGGAACCTTTGAAACTATGAGCCAAACCAAACCTTTTCTTTATAAGCTGCTTATCTCAGGTGTCTATTAAGGTTGCCTAATGTAGCTATTAATCACAAGCAGTTATTTAAATGTAAAATAATTAGAATTAAGTAAAAATAAAATTTTGATTCCTTATTCACTCAAGCCACATTATATACAAGCACTCAACTGCCATGCTAGCTACAAGTTATCATACTGAACAAGACAGATATAGAACACTTCCACCATCCTAGTACATTGTATTGAACAATGCTTAGAAGACCAATAATAATCAAACTATAGTCACAAGACTGCTATTTCCAATATTTTTGCCAGACACACAGTCTCTAGCATTTATTTAATACCTTATTTATATTTACTCACTGTAATTACAAATGCATCATTTACAATACCTTTCTTTAAAACAAACAAACAAAAAAACAAAACAAAAAAAAAAACCTATGGCCAGAGCAGGAGAATTGCAGATTTGTTCACATATGCCCTATCTGTATCATTTTAAGGCTTCTCCATTTTGTCAATATAGTGCCAAGACACTTTGGGGATTTGTATGTGGCCTAAAATATGAAGATGTATAACTAATATTTTTAATAGTAAATAGTTTGAGGTTAAGAGAGGATTTTAAATACTGGCCTTACAAAATAACCATGTTTAGTTTCCCAATCAATTTTTAAAAATGAGATCATCTTCAAACCTACTAGGGTCTTGGGATATGCTGCTCTAGAAAATTCTTCAGGTCTCAAGAATTATGAACATGCATAACTTATTTTAGCTCCTCACAAAATATTTTTTAATAAACTATACAGTGTGTCAGGCCTTATCAGACCTATGTTGAATGGCCTGAAAGAAATCACATAAAACTATAATGCATTTACTTTAGGGATGTTGTTGGTGATAGAGTTTACTACTTCATACAATAGCCCTGCTTTGTGAGGACCCATGAAACAAAAGTTCCCTGGTTAGTTTTGTATGAGCAACTTGGATCATATATAATCAGTGATGTTTTTGTGTTTACTTTGCCTACTAGAAAAAAACAAGCCAAATTTGTAGTCTACTTTACCAGTCTAGGATCTATGGCAGGTGTTTTTAGGTGCAGAAGCAACCTACCTTCCTCTTGTTTTCTGACTTTAATTTTCCCATTTGAAAAATCTTTTATATCTCTCTCTCAAGAGTTCTCAAATCTTTTATTTTTTAAAGTTAAAATTTAAAAAACTGAAAACAAGAACTTCATTAGAAAGTTGGGAGATTATTAGTATTTTTTGAACCTGTTAAATAATAGGAAAAAATAGAAATATGTAGATTTTTATAAAACTAATTCTATTTTCAATAATTTGAGTTGCCCAATAGGATTTATAAAAGTTCATAATATGCTTTAAAATATTTAACACTATAATAATTCTCAGCTGGAAAGATAACAATAAAAATACAGACTCAGGAAATTATTACATTTTTATTTAAAATTTAAAATAAATTAATTTTAAAATGTTAAAATTTTAATTAGAGAATATCTTCATAACTTAGTTCCAACAATTTTTCACAGTGAATAAAAAAAATTCCACGTTTCATCCTTATAAAAATAAACTCTTTAACAAAATATTTGGATTTTTTTTTTTTAATACTGGTGGGGGTGCTCTATCACTAAGCTACATTCCTATCCCTGTTTTTTTTTTAATTTTGAAACAGGGTCTTGATCAGTTATTTACGCCAGCTTGGAACTTACAATCTTCCTGCTCCAGTTTCACAAGTAACTGGGATTAAAAACATGTACTACCATGTCTAGCTTCTGATAAAATATTTGTATGAATGAAGCTGAATTTTAAAAGTCATATTTCTTGTAAGTCTGCTAAGTGCAAGGTATTTGCCCCATAATGTGTAAACAGAAAAAAAGATACTATCTTCTAGGAGATTACAATCTAGTAGGAAATAAACACAAATATTATACCACATGGTTAAGTTAATGATGAAAATGAAATAAAAACAAAATCATAGAAATAAAAGCAAATAAATAACTGGGAAAGTATAGTAAAGGATACAGAATGATATTTAAACAGAACTGTAGTTAAAGAAGCTGGTGGAGGCATGCATGGGTTCCATAAGCTAAAGGTAAACATGTGTCATAGTTGAGAAAGTACAAGGTAAATGGAACAAGGTGAAGTGTAGCCATGAGACTGAAGAATGAGGTAGGGAAGAACGGGGCAGAAATAGCACAAATATGCTCACAGGCCTGACGGACTATACTAAAAACCTTGGAGTTGACAGTTGCTACTTACTAACTACAGAAACTTAGATCAGCTATGAAACCACCCTTTATCAGTTTCTTGTTTATAAAATGGGGATAACATAGTAGTGTGGCTTTATAGGGTTCTTGTCAAAATTAAATTTCTTGATAGCACTATGATCAATAAATACTGGTGGTTCATATTATTCTGTATCCAAGAGGGAGAGACTCAGATCAAAGCAATAATATGAACAAATCTGTTACCTAAAAAAATAATGCTTATAGCATTGTGTAAATAAACTGAAATAGAAGAGACCAGAGCAATCTCCTGAAACAAAGAATGAAGCTAATGTATGGGAAATAAAAATCAGAGTCTGGATTATATAATACAAAATGAAAAGAGATGAAGAATACTTCTCTCTTTAACAAAACATACGGATCATTAATACTGATTTGATCAAAGCAGAAGTCCTAAAGAATGGTAATGAAGAACTGAATTTAATAAACATACCAATGAAAGAAGGAAAACAACATTAAAATAAATTTACAGCTTGGACAAAAAACAAACATAACCTTCTTAACAGACATATGACCTAATGAATAACRACAACAAGAAATTGGTATTAAGAGGTCCAAGAGCAAGTTAAAAAATTACAGAAAGTAATACAAATGTTTATTTAAAATAAAAATTTATACATCAGAGGCTGGAAAGCTATTGGTGGTAATAAAGAATAAAGTCATTTTCTAGGCTAGTAAATACTTTCATAATATACTCACCTATAAAATTGACAAATTAAGAATTCTGAGGGGAAAAGTTGTAATAACTAGCCTAAAATAAATGGATTTTTGCTACTTGAGATTATAATTTAATGGTATGGCTGGTAAGAGATTTAGGTGTGTTTGGTAAGATTATCTGAAAGCAAGGGTCAGAACTAAATGATAATAGAAAATGTAGCTTGGAAAAAAAACAACAAAAGATTAAATACTGTCACTGAACATGAGGGAAACATTGTGGCCAAGGTTTAAAAATATTAGAAGTCTGGAAGCATGAATATATTAAAGATAAACATCTAAAAAGAAGAAACAGGAAATAAACAATGAGAACACACTTTAAAAAGTCTAAACAATTATGCAAAATAAACAAAACAATCTCCCAATGAAATGGATATACAGGGATATTGTTCATAATTTTTACAAATTCAGAAATTAGTTCTTTCAAGCATGAATAAATACGTAAAACAATGCCTTAACTCTGGTTACACATCAGAACCACCTGTGGAGCTTAAAACTTGAAAAGATGCTCAGGTTTTCTTTTCCCATAGACACCTGAATTCTAAATTTACTTTGAAAACAATATATTAAAAATAGTCTTTATTTTTAAAAATAGTTTTATACTTACAGAAAAATTCAGACAATAGTACATAGAGGGTTCCCATATACCCTATTATTAACATTTTACATTAGTTTGGTACATTATAAATTACTCACCTAACTTTATCAACTAAAGCCCATATTTTATTAAAATTTCCTTAGTTTTCACCTAATGTCCTTTCTCTGTTCTAGTATCCCATCCATGTTACCACATTACCTTTAGTCGTCGCGGTACTGAGGCCTCTTTTGGCTGTGATGATTTCCTCAGACTCTAATGCCCTTGACTGTTGTATTTAAAGAGTGCTGGTCAGGTATTTTGTAGGATGCCCCATTGCTGGAATGTGTTTGATGTTTTTTCATGGTTAGACTGGGATTATTGGTGTCAGAGAGGTAGACCACAGAGGTTAAGTGCCATTCTGTGTCATCTTCATTATATCCTATCAAGGGAA